GTCATGGGAAGGAGGGGGTTGATTTATCTGCAAAGCACCTGAGGACAGGAGAAGAAGTAATGGGTAGAAGCCAGAGGGAAATCCAATATGGAACTAAAGAAGAAACTTCCTTTAGGGCAGTGAGAACTATTAATCAGTAGAACTGCTTGCCTCCAGAAGTTGTAGGTACTTCATTGTTGGAGGATTTCAAGAAAAGATCGTCTGGCGGAAATGGCAAAGATTTCGGCTTTTTTAAAGGATCAAACGCAAGAGAAATTTCTTGCTGTTTGGGATAAATGGATAGAATTTATACAATTTAAATTGGATATAAAAAAATACCATCTTGCCTTTTTATAATATATATATATATATATATATATATATATATATATATATATATATATATATATATATATATATATATATGTTTTCTGAGGTTTTCGCGGGTATTTGTATATAGGTCTTTGGTTGTTCGGGTTTTCTCCCACGTAAAATTGGAAGTGTCTTGGCGACGTTTCGACGAAGTCCCATTCGTCATCTTCAGGCTGGTGCTTTCAGCTTCGTGCCTCGAGCAGCAGTGTGTGGTCTTGGCTGTTTCTTCCTTTTAACTGCCAGTGGAGGTATGAACTGATTGGGTGGGAGCTTGGCTGTGTTCTGATTGGGTGGAGGTGTGTTCTGATTGGTTAGGGGCTTGGCTGTGCTCTGATTGGCTGGGGGGTTGGCTGTGCTCTGATTGGCTGGGGGAGTGTTCTGTTTGGTTGTGCTCAGGTTAGTCTGAGTTGCAGAGGGATTCAAGATTTTGGGCTGCCCTGCCATTCCTTGGCTTCGCGTTCGTGGTCGTGCTTCCTCTTCATGGAGGGTGTCAGTTTGCTTCATGTATGGATTGGGGGGGTTTAAAGTGGCTAATGATGCAGCTGTGGTCTGGCTTCTGGTTTGTGGTCGTGCCTCATAGTCAGTGTGGCTTTGGGTTTGTTTTTTGCGTGGATGTTTGGTGGTGACCTCCTGTGTGGTTTTTGTGAGTGTGGGTCTGGTATCATTTTTTGTGTTAGGGAGTCGTTTGTCAATGAGGGCGGGTTTCCAAATGGCTGGTAGGCGGGAGGTATCATCTCTCTTGTTCATGCTGTGTGGGCGTTTTTCTATCTCGATGGCTTCTCTGATTATTCTGTTATTAAAATGTTCACTTTTGGCAATGGTTCTGGTATTTTTAAAGTCAATTTCATGTCCTGTGGCTTTAAGGTGTTGGACCAGGGAAGATGTTGGTTCCTCTTTTTTGACTGAGTTCTTATGTTCTTCAATGCGTGCACTTATTCTTCTGTTGGTTTGTCCGATGTATGTGGTGGGACAAGTGGTGCATGGGATTTCGTATACTCCTTGATTTTCTAATTCAATTTTATCTTTGGGGTTTCTAAGGATGGTGGATATTTTTCTGTTTGTGCAGAATGCTGTTTTGATGTTGTGTTTATGGAGGATCTTACTGATTCTGTCTGTGGTGCCTTTTATGTATGGGAGGAGGGCTTTGCCGTTTTCTTGTTCTTTGTCTTGGATTTTAGTGGGGGTTTCTTTTTGGATTAGGTTTGTAATCTTATTTCTATGGAATCCATTGGATGTTAGTACATTGGTGAGAGTGTGTAGTTCGGGTTTTAGGTGTTGTTCGTCAGCTAAGCGTTTTGTTCTGGAGATGAGTGTCTTGGCTACAGAGTTGATCTGTGCTGGGTGGTGGTGTGAGAGAGCGTGCAGATAGCGGTTTGTGTGTGTTTTCTTCTGGTAGATGGTGTGTCCTAGGGAGCCATTGGATTTCTTGTAGACTAAGACATCCAGGAAGGGAAGTTGGTTGTTAGCTTCTGTTTCCATGGTGAACTGTATTTTGGGGTGTAGGCTGTTGAGGTGTGTGAGGAAGTTGTCCAGTTTTTCTTTCCCATGTGGCCAGATTATGAAGGTGTCGTCTACGTATCTGAGCCAGAGTTTGGGTTTGTGATCCGATTTTTCTAGAGCTTGGGTTTCAAAGTGTTCCATGTAGAGGTTGGCAATGACAGGTGAGAGGGGTGATCCCATGGGTGCTCCTTCTGTTTGTTTGTATTTTTGTCCATTATAGATGAAGTATGTGTTGGATAGGCAGTGGTTGGTCAGATCTAAGATGTGTTTGGGGGGGTTATATTTGTTTTGGATAGCTGTCAAGGCTTCTTTGATAGGCACTTGGGTGAAGAGGGATATGACATCAAAGCTCACGAGTAGGTCGCTGGGCTGTAAGTTTTGTTTCTTTATGATCTCTATAAAGTGGAATGAGTTTTTTACGTGTGAGGTGATGGATTCTGCATAGGGCTGTAGTTGTTTGGCAAGAAATTTGGCTAGGTTTTGTAGAGGTGAGCCTATGGAGCTGACTATAGGTCTGAGTGGGGTTCCTTCCTTGTGTATCTTGGGGAGACCATAGAGTTTGGGGCATCTGGATGATTTCTCTCTGGGAATGATTCTTTGCTGGATCTCTTCGCTAATGGGGGAGGCTTTTATTTTGGATCTGGTGGTTTTTTCCAGGTAGGTGGTGGGATCTGTATTTAGGGGTTTGTATGTGGAGTCTTGGAGTAGGTTGGTTAATTTGGTTTGGTAGTCAGATGTGTTCATAACCACCGTGGCGTTGCCCTTGTCTGCTGGTAGGATTATTATGCTGGTGTCTTCTTTCAGGTTACGTAGTGCTGTCTGTTCCTCTTTGGGTAAGTTGCTTTTGGGTGGCTTGCTGGTACAGAGGATGTTGGTGATTTCGAGTCTGATTCTGTTAGCATCGTCGGGGTTGATTTTGGTCAGGCTGGTTTCAACTCCACATATAATGGTTTCAGTGGGGATGTGTTTGGGAGTGACTGCAAAGTTGAATCCTTTGGAAAGGACATTGGTTTCGGCTTTGGTGAGGATCCTATCTGAGATGTTATGCACTGTTTGTTTCATGTGTGGCTGTGAGGGAGGAGGGGTTTGTTTCTGGCGTTCTTGTAGTCTTCGGAGTTTGTTGGTGTGTGTATCTGTCTTGAGGGTGGTCTGTGTTTCGGCTCTCCAGACGGCGAGTTGTTTGGATTTGTCCCAAAGTGCGGGGTGGATCTTGTTGCTGAGTTTGAGGTGGAGTGTGAGGAGATCTTTGTTGATTCGGTCTAGGAGGAATCTTTTTGTGTGAAGTTCACCAAAGACCTACATACAAACACCCGCGAAAACCTCAGAAAACATATATATATATATATATATATATATATATATATATATATATATATATATATTTCCTAGTTTTAAACTTTTTTTTCCTTTTTACATATATATTTTCTAATTCCTTTTTAATTAAGCCTATATTCTGCTCTGGGAAGCTCAGGGGGGGAAGGGGGGTGTTTTTGGGGGGGTGGGGAAGGGGATGTTATGTTTAGTTTTTTGTGTATTTTGTATTTTTTGTTTTTGAATTGTTGTATTTTTTTCTGTTTTTCTGTCTTTTTGTCTTTTTTGTAAAAATTTATAAAAATGTTCAATTAAAAAAAAAAAATCGGACAACCATTTGTCCAGGATGGAATAAGGACCCATTTTGGATGAAGATTGGACTAGCTTACCTCCAAGGTCCCTTCCAGCCTTACGATTCTAAAAGGCTGACATCCATCTGGGGCAATGCACCTTTCCTCTATGTCAGGGGTGTCAAACTCAATTTCATTGAGGACTGCATCAGCATTGCAGTTGTCCTCAGGGGGACGGGTGGGTGCAGCCTACTTAGTGGGCTAGGTTGGAGTGGGTGTGGCCTACTGGGTGGGCAAGGCCAGCTCTACATTGTTCACATCAAGGGTGCCTGTGGGGGCCTGGGTAGGAGTGGGACAGATCTGAGGGTCTCTGGCAGAAGGGGGTGGGACCGGGGCAAACGCCAAGGCATAGTCCATTTCTTCATTCCTCACAAAGGGTAACACCTCCCCAACATGCACCCAGGAGGCAGGGCCGACACAGCAGGGGCTGGTTCCTCGCTGTTTCTAGGCAGCCTTGTGGAGCTAAGACTGAGTGTGTTTCAGCATAGATGGCCACCACAAAAACTGTACATTGGCTCCCAGCCGGCCTGGGCCAGGGCCAAGGCAGCGGGGGCCGTTCCCTCACTGTTTCCAGGATGGCTTCGTGAGCCACATGAAACCACTTCACGGGCCGCATCTGGCCCCTGGGCCTTGTGTTTGACATGTCTGCTCTATATTTATAAGTGAAAGCTTTCAGTTAAACATAAATGCATTACAAATGTTAGAGTCAGAGATGAGAATATTTGGCTGCGTCACACCTCCTTGAAACAAACACTTTTCAGAGGTCAGATATCAAAGCTGACACTGCTCCTTGCTCATTCTTCTAGAGCACCCTTACAGATCAGATAGTGAATTAAAAATCTTCTTGGGCTGCAAATATCTGACATAGAGCCAACAGGAACAACTACTATCATTTTTTTCATCAGATTTATATCCTGTTTTTCTTCCAGCTCAACCACAAACTCATTTCTTATGACTAATGATGAACTCGAATCTGGGTCTCCTCACTCCCACGTTTAATCTTTTACCACTACACTTCATTTGCTATATCCTTTCAAATGTGTGCTAAGATGCCCATGGCTCAATTCCAGCTGCTCTGACATCTGTTCAAGAACAGAGCAGGTGAGAGAGAAAGAAAAGGCAGAGGGGGGGGAAAGCACAGCAACTTTTTTTCTTTTTTTTGCCTTTTTCTGCGTTTGCCTTTTTCAAGCCGATTTTCCTCCAGATGTACCGATAACTATTTCCACAGATACTTAAGAGTTGTCATTCAAGCCTTTCGAAAGCTGCCTGTTTGCGATGGGGAGGGGAGCGTCATCAACTACAACATAAATCATTATTACACCCCACTCGGGTGTGCAGGTACACTGAACCGAAGTGGCTCTTGATCTTGCACCTTCTTTACCCCAGAAAATCTACTGTGAGGGGAAGAGGGCAAAAAGAAACTGTCAAAGGCAGCTGGCCATAATCTGCAGGGAATTTTCGATTTCCCGGCTTCCCAAAGGCAAGTGCATATGCCTGCCACAAGGCAAGTTTGCAGAAACGAGAGCCGGCCCGAAAACTGGATCTGGGCACCGCAAAGTGATCCCAACCAGCCGAGATACCAGAGCCGACGCTCCTGCGGCGGTATAAATGGCCGGCGAGGGCTGCCTGCTGCTGGGCCCCTAGCGGCGAATGAAGTTTCTGCCTCTCGGCAAGTTCCTGGTGCAAAAGAGAGGCGCTGCGGAAGCAGGGCCGGGTCAGCTCCATGGCCTTCATTCGGAAGAGACGGCAGGAGCCGGAGCTCTACTCTAAAGAGAGGTGGGTGAAGGGCCGTGGGTTAATGCCGCGCGCCCAGTTCCTCCAAGGGAAGACGGCGGCAATGTCAGGGTGAAGGGCCGTGGGTTAGTGCCGCGCGCCCAGTTCCTCCAAGGGAAGACGGCGGCAATGTCAGCGAAGGAGCAAAAGCTCAGGAGTTGGGCCGTTCTGAACGCCGCCCCTCTTCCAGCGGTAGCGTCGCTGCTGGTGAAGCGCGCTCAGATCCGGAGAAAATTGAAAGTACCCAGCTGCTCTCAAGCGGTTGGGGGAGCAGGGAGGGGAACCTGTCCCCAGGAGGCACCGAAATCGCTTTGTTAATTGTGTGCAAAGAAGCGAGAGAACCGGGAACGACTTGGGGGGGGGAGGGGCGTGAAAGAAGGGACTCCTAATTTTGTGTGTGTGTGTGTGTGTGTCTGTGTCTGTGTTGTCCCTTTTGCTTAAAACTAGCGTACGGTATCATCAACCTTCCTCGCGCTGTCCCGGTGAGCCCTATTGCGGGTCATAATCTTGCATTACGGAAGTGGCGTGGGGACTATTGTCTTGGGACACTGCAGTGTATGCACGTATTGCCCTTCCTCTTAAAGCTACAAAGGCTCCAATTCTAAAACATGGCAATTGGGGCATAGGACGGGGTACATGAATTTCACGAGATGTTGAACATTGATTCGTTCAATAATATCGTTTCCCTCCGGATAAAATCGTAAAAACACGCTTCACGTTTTGTACTGCTTTGGTGTAGCCAACAAGACTACTATTGCATTGCCTATCACACGGACCTTTAATTAAACAAATTACGGTTTATCAAAGCAATTTGCTGGATTGTTCCGAAGGCGATAGCACTAAGCTAAATGGTGGACATCTTAATTCATGTTTGTGGGTAGTGCAGTTGAACCAATGAATAGAAAAAAGTATAACTTTGCAACTTTAATTTCTGAACAAGTTTGAAAATATTTAAAAATAAATACTTTTTAAAAATTAAATAATTTGGCTATCCATAGCTCATATACAAGACCCAAATAGTAAGGTTTATGCAGAAAAGAAAATGAACCAAGCTACTTCAGATCTACTTTCTCTAACCCATATGAAAGGAAATGTGAAAATTTCCTTATTTTATGCCTAAAATTACACAAAGTAGATTTTATTCATCGCTATTCTCTCAGATTAAAAATAAGGAAACTAAAGTTAATTCCCATGCCAAGTAGTTATGTCAACATCCTTAAGCAGTTAACATTATCTACAGATAGTTCTCATCTTATGATCGCAGTTGAGCCCAAAATTACAGTCATACGTTGAGGCACCCAGTGACCAGAAGTAATTTTCTGGCCTTTTCCACAGTGGTTGTTAAATGAATGCCATGGTCATTAACTGAACCACATTCATTTAAATGAACATTTTTTTTTGCCAGAAACAGACCAAAAATAATCACAAAATATAGTCATGAGACCACTGAGCACCATGATCTTAACAGTGCTTTTTTTTGTAAAAAAAAAAAAAAAAGGTGCCGGAACTCACACACATCATACCACCCACCTTGCCTACCCTACAAGGTTCCATCCAAAAAAGGTGCCGGAACTTTGTTCTGGGTGTTCTATGACAAAAAAAGCCCTGGATCTTAAAGCTAATTTGTCTGACATGCAGTCAACCATCAATTTGGGCATTCATGAGGGGGAGATGGTAAGGAGCGCAAGTGGAAAAATGTATCTCAAAATCATAGTACAAATGCCAAAACTGATGTATTAGTATCTGACTTAGGAACACAAGTACAAAAGGACTGGATTTCCATCATGGTGTCACTGCATGCATTGCAAGAATTTTTGATATTGTGGTGTTAGAAGAAAATTCTGTTCTGCAGCCAGGTAAATAAGCATAGGACACCAACTTGAAGTAGAGGTAGAATTTAATTGACAGCAAATCAAATGATTCAGCTCTCAAAGTAGCTACAAAATCAGAATAAGAGTAGTAATATTTATAGCAATATTGGGCTTTGATTGTGAGGTGTGTACATGTGTTAATTGAGGTGTCTTTGCCTTGGGGATGTGCAAAGTTTGGTGAGGAAAGTTATCTTTTGCCCTACGGCAGTGTTTCCCAAACTTGACAATTTTAAGGCAAGAGGACTTCAACTCCCAGAATTCCACAGCCGGCAACGCTGTCAAATTTGGGAAACACTGCCCTATGGGATGTGTTGATCTTTTCTAGGTGGGGAATTTTATGAGGGGGTCTGTGATTGGGAACCTCGTATAGGGGAGAAGTATTGTGATTAGGACTCCAGAAGATGGTAGAGGACAGGAAGACCTGGAGGAACGTTGTCCATGGGGTCGCGATGGGTCGGACACGACTTCGCAATTAACAACAACAACAACATTGTGATTAGAAGATTTCTGTATCTTTGAGGGATCTTGCTTCCTGATTGATTTGCTGGTATCAGAGGGCTTCCTGGGGAGACTGCTTAATCAATTTCATCCTACATAGGGTGAAAAGGTTTAAGTGATTTTATATGTGGGTGATAGGAGTCTTTGCCTGTGGAATAGACAGGAATAGACAGTTGCTGGCTGAGGAATTCTGGGACTTGAAGTCCACAAGTCTTAAAGTTGCCAAGGTTGAGAACCCCTGATCTAGATTATCAGGCCTATAACTGGAAAAAAACAGACTCTTTGCAATGTTATTTTCTTATTATTCTGTGATCGTACATTTTCAGATATTCTTGTTAGATTATTGTGGATATTCCAATCAATAAATATAAGTTAGAATTTTAGCGCATGGTTTTTTAATGTGTTAATCATCTATACATATTGTTTGAAGGTTAGTCTCCAGGCATGAAATCTTATGCTACAGTAAATCTATTAATTCACCAACCCTCTTTGGAAGAGTGTTGCTACATCCATTACAAACCAGTATTCATGGCGTGATATTTGTGCAGATTTTTGAAATTTGGGATTTCTTTTATGATAATTTACTCATCAATATTTAAAAAGGGAAGATTGTGTAGATTAGCAACTTTGTATCAAACTACTTGGAAAAATTATGGTGTTAGGGCTAGGCAGTATAGTAATTGCTGCTGTACCATTAAAGCTGAGCTCTAACAATTTACTTAATGTTTCAAGTTTCTCTGGTAATGAAGCCCAACCTCTACAAGTTCAAAAATAGTAGTCTTATTGTGCTCTTGCTATTTTCTCCCTTCCGTGGAGACTGAGTAAAAAGAAAGTAGCTAGGGAAAGTGCCCCGTAACACATGACATTCAAGATCTATCTTGCCTGGGAAGGATCTTTGTGATGGGGTCACATGTTAACATATTTTATTTAAATGTACATACTGATCACTATGTAACATTGCAAATATTTATATTTACTATGTGAAATCCTGTATGAAATCCTTTCTTAGCTGTTCATAGGAACTGCATCCTTCAAAAAGAATATAGACTTGTTTCCATTTTTAATTGGATAAGTACAAAGCAGGACAGTAGAAGTCAATACTCCTTGAAGAATAAACTACTAGTGAAAATAAAATTTCTCAATTATCTTTTAGGCTAGCTCAGTAATTAGCTGGAATTTTTTAAAAGATTCTGCTTCATTATTGCTTATTGATGTTACAAAAATGTTTTTGTTTTGTTTTTTCTTAAAGGGATACTTTTAAAGTTTATGCATCTATATAGAAGTTAAAATCAATGTTGCAGTTTTTTCCTTATGTTGCCGTTTTTTCCAATGGGTAAGAAAAAGATGGAGAAAAAGATGCAAATAAAATTTGTTATAATCATCCAAAATTTCCAGCATTAAACATTTTTTGTTATTACTGTTGGATATATGTTTCTTTTCTGTTTTGTTTTTCTTTTTTATATTTTATTCCTGTTGATAAAACATAATAAATATATACATAAAAAAGATCATTCAAAATTTCTTCCCCTTGGATTGCAAACAAAATATTGTGCTGTGTACACCAAATATCCTTGGTAATCAGATTTGCTTTTTGATCTGAAACTAAAGCACTTCCAACATGTGGTTACTTAAACACAGGAGTCTTCAAACTTGGCCGCTTTAAGATTGTAGACTTCAACTCCCAGAATTCCTCAGCCAGCATGGCTGGCTGAGGAATTCTGGGAATTGAAGTCCACAAGTCTTAAAGTGGACAAGTTTGGAGACCCCTGCTTAAAAACATCAATGATGACTTTTACTTCCACATCTAATTGTTTGGATTTTTTTTAATTTAAATTGGATTTTTTATTTTTATCAAATTTATTTTAATAAAATACTTCTAAAGTAAAAATCTATCTAAAGATAGTTTTCTATTTAAGATACATTAATGATTTAATGTATTCGGCATGAAATGGAGCTTAGTTATGTAGCATGATGCTGTATATTGTGCAATATTTACAGTTTTGGTAAATTCATTGAATGAATCCAAGCTCTGTAAGCTGAGATAACATGCACTGCATTGATACATTCATACAATTTCATAGTAACCATGAGATAAATCATAAAACAAAGTCTAGGAATATTACTTTATCCCATTGTTTTGCAAATCTATGTACACTACAAACTGATTATTTGAAGAGAAATGCATCTGTACCAGGCTCTAAGTGTTTTAATTAAATAAAAGAATTTGAGAAGTTCTCCAACTATGTATGATTAACCTATTAACCTAAAATCAGTTCTGATATCACTGTTTTGCTAACCTGACAGCTTATTATTCTAAATAGGAAACCTTCATTTTGTTTGCAAATAATATTAAAAATTCTAACTACTAACAAGAATGAGTCCTTACATTTAAAGAGCACCTGTCATTTCAGCTCTATCATGGCAGCGCAAGCCATCCACTCACCTGCTGCCCTCCATGTCCTTCACCTTGTTGTGTCACTGCCGCATCACCAGCTGTCCTATTAAAATGAATGGGACTGTCAGTGAGTCAATAGAGGGTCAGAGGGGAAGCTGCTGCAGGAGAAAGATGACAGTTGCTCTTTAAAAATATGATTTAAATTGAGTTGATTTCAATCAAGCTTTTTACTGGTGATTTAAATGATTTAAATCAACTTGATTTAAATGAAATCCACCCTGCTTTTAGGAAGCGTTCTTTACCTTTTAGCCAGAAGCTGCCTTATTTGGAACACATCTAGACTGCCCATCATGGCTGTAAGTCATGACAATTGTAAAACTACTGCCCTTTTTTTGTGGTGGTGGTCATTAAGCAAATGCCATAGTTGTGAAGTGGCTGCTGCAGTAATTAAGCAAATGCCACAGCCATTAAGTGAACTAGTAGTTTGCTATGGGTGAATTTTTCCCACAAATCAGAAGTAAATGCCGGTTTTCAGCAAAATTGTTATAAAATGTGGTCACGTGATTGTGAGATGCTGCAAACAGCTGTAAAGATGGCCCGGTCACCAAGGGCTGAAGTTTAGCCATTTGACTCGCAGAGGAGACAACTGCTGAATTGGGGCATAAGTAGCCCTGAGGTTAGGTCCTTCATAACTGAACAGCCGCTAAGTGTCTGGTGATAAATTGATGGCCATTTGTAATGCATATTAGTATCAAAGCACAGCTGAGTTCCATTAACACATATTATTTTGTTTTTTTATTATTTACTTTTAGATTTTCCTTACTACTCCTTAATCTGGAAGAATACTACTTTGAACAACATACAGCTAATTACATTTTAGAGAAGGGTGGCAAGGGAATAAGGTATTACACTCTTTTTATAAATGGGAAAACATGAATATTGTGCTGCATCAAAATTCTGCAATAACTTTCTAATATCTTCTAATGCTTAGGAAAATTAAAGGATCATTTAAAATCTGCTCAAAATCAGTGATATTTGAGCCTGATGAAATAATCCACCCCATTATTAAGGTGAGTAGATTAGTAAGTAATGCCAAGAATTTTAGTTGATTTTAACATCAAACTCAAATGAAATTTTCTTTTTTCTGTAAATTCACATAGATTCCTTTGAGAGATTGTGTTAAAATTGAAGCACCAGAAGATAGTGGGAATTATTCCTTCACAGGGTAAATGCTGTTAAAGATGTATTAAAGACTTATTTATTTAATATCAATATAACTGAATATGTGATAATGTTATTTTCTTTTTCCCCAAATCTGTGTTTTAGTGGTACTTCTGGGCAGATTGCTATTTTATCTAGTCAAGTAAGTAATGAATAATCTAAAAGTCCATGTTTACTGCTTTTTAAATGTCATTTTTAAATTAAAATGCAAATTCCTGTGAATTTTTTTTTAGAGTTTTGCCTTAATCTCTGAAAAGGCTTCTAATTCAGACCAAACTCCATTTGTTATCAAATTTGTATTTAGCTCAAGACAGTTTTGAAACTTTCATCATAATTCATACCGTGAGTGACAGTAGAAAAATTACTCCAGGAGCAATGCTTGATGATGATATATTGGTTAACACTGCACAGATAATAAAATCATATTTCTGTTGTATAAACTTAAGGGATATAAGAGATTTGTCAAATAAGCATAATAATACATAAGGAAGGTCAGCGAGGGTATGTAGTGTAATGATAGGTAACTTTAGCTCTGCTGTTCGTACAACAGTGCTACATAAATCATGAATCTCATAAGATAAGCACCCCTGGTTGAACACTGCCAGACTGAACAAAACCCTGTCAGAAAAAACTTGTCAAGTTTGAACAGCAAAGCTTTTGCTGTGCCCCAGACACATTAGCTCAGGGAGGCAAAATATTTTTATCATAAACCTTTGCACAAGCAAATATTTGTTTTAAGTTCTTCAAAGCAGAATTATACAGAGACAAATGGTATTAAGAAAAGAGACAAGAGATCTGATAGCTAATGTAAAATGGATAATGGATATAAAATGGATAAAGGATATCATCAGTCTGCATGCTTAATAGGTTCATAGGCAACGGGGAAGAAGATATTTTTATTTTCTTCACTCAGGAATAGATTAGCTGCATGCTTGACATGTAAGAAGTAAAATAATACTAAAGAGGGAAGCAACAGGAAGCTCAGATAAGATCAAGAAGCCAAAGAGTACTTCTATGACAACAAAGATTAGAATGTGTCAGAATATCAAATATTCTCTTCTATCAAGATCAGAATAGTTAAAGCAGTGGATTTACCAGCGATACTGTATGGGTGAGAAATTTGGACATTGATGGATAACTTTTAATTGCAGCTTTGATTATGGTTATTAAGAGTATCATGGGCTAAAAGAAGAACCAATCAATTAGTTCTGAAGAAAAAAGGTGAGGCAGTGACTAATAAGCAAAAACTCTGCAGATGATGAACTAGAAAAAATAACTGTTTGGCATGATTGGAGGAAATGAGAAAAGGGGAAGGCAATGGAGAAGATAAAAGAAAAGGATCAGGAATATCATTTGAATATCTCTGAAAGAACAATAACTGTGATTTGCCACTATGCATGGAGAATGGTTGGCTGGGGAATTCTGGGAGTTGAAGTCCACACATCTTAGAGTTGCCAAGTTTGAGAAACACTGCACTAGAGAAACATCAAAATGGAGGATATCTGTCCATAAAGTCATCGGGATTTGTGTCTGACAATGACATCAACTGTAGGGAAATGTTTAACTTTTCAATAAAGGCAAAGTTAAACTAGGCTCACAGTGAAATATTAGCCTACAATTTCGTTTTCGTTTTTGTAAAAAAAAAAAACTATTTTAAAATTAAAATGTAATTTTCATTTAAAATGAAGAGAAAAGGTTAGAAACATGATTTGAGGAGGAACTTTCTGAACAGTTACTATTCATATATTCATACTTTATAAGCTTCCCTGCATTTCTGATAATATCTAATAGCTACAATATATTACAAAAATAAATACTAAACAAGTTGTCCTTTTCTAAAGGCTTTTCTCACTAAAGAACAAAATGTCATTGCACCCTTTAAAACCGAAAGAGTAAGTATATATTTTTCTTCCATTCAAAGAAAAAAAAATTCAAATGTTACATAACTAAATACTTTGTCTCTGGAAAAAAATATCAATTTTTTGAAAAATAACTGCATATGTTAGTATTTAAACATATTCTTATTTTTAATATAAAAGTATTAAAGTGCCTTTTAGTAGTCTAGGATATGAACTGTTAAATACGGTAGGTAAAATATACAAACAATGTTTGATTTGCCAAATGTCATAAACAAGAAAAAGAGTAATAAGAAACTGGAGATATAATACAGCAGCTAGGTTAGAGTATCAGAACTAACAGGAATTAAATCTAGAATTAGTTTGCATAGAATACAGATGCCAAACTAGACCCTTTCCTAGTTTGAAGAGGTTGGGTGGGGTTTAACTACAATGGGTTGTAATATAATTTTAATTATCTCTTCTTGTTAGGGTGAAACTAAATATGTATTTGAACTGGATGTTGCTGGAAAAGTCGAAGATGTCACACAAACACTTCACCAAGTATGAATAGTTGTTGGTTTTGTTACTGCCTGTAGCATGTGATTTAGCTAATGACTCAGAGTAAACTCTCTTCATCTAGTCAAATATTTGAAACAATTAACAAATGCCTAATTCTTTTTCTTTTGCATGGTAGTCCTGGGTTAAATGTGGCTAATCAATCATTAAGGAATCCTGTAGAGTGCTTCTGCAATCCTGTAGAGAGCAATCTCTGGCACAAATGCTGTTGACAATTAGTAGACATTTATAGAATCTCAGTTCCAGGCAATCAAACAAGAGAAGTTTATATTGGTTTTTTTTTCATTTGTAACAGTAATGGGTTTATCTCTGCTTAGAAAATTTGTGCTTACTAATCATGAACTAGTAGCAGCATCTAGCCAACTTTGAGTGATTTTGAAAAGAATAAGCAAGAATGTGATCTGATTTGTATTTACATGAGTAAATTTCTTGGCCATGAGCTTCACTGGAAAATTGAAATAACATTACAGAAGAAGGCAGTGTCAAAACCATTTTATATCTCCGCCAAGGAAACTACATGAATGCATTTGTGTAAGCACCAGAGTCAAACTTGAATTAAGGGAAATATTGCTGTTGAGAATAGTACTGATTAGGACAAAATTCTTATGAATGCATGCATATGGATGGATGTATAAAAATCTTGGTAAAGTTAAATTAGTTAAGAATCTATATCAAGAATTGACCTTTCAGTGAATGCATGAGACCCTGTTTTCTGTGGCATCCTACTTTTGGGGGCTTTTGCTACAGTTCTTAAGTTTTTATCATTTCAAAATGGTGATTACATAGGCTAATAGTTTTCAGCAGTTATTATTGGGGAGCTCTTGATGATATAAAAAGGGGTTCCTGGGGGGTATATGTGGCCTAAAGCCATGAATTGTGACTCTTGAGTTATGATTTATGATTATATATGTGTGTTGTGATGCAAGTCTGTAAATGAAACTGTAATGCAAAGTGGGTAATTCTGACAAGTCTTGCCTATATCTATGGTCTTCAAATCTCTTATATCTGGGAAAACTTCTAAATTTCATTTGATTGCTTCTGTTTTTTTACAGTTATACAGAGCATCGCACCTGGACAAGCTAGGGGACCAGGCTGCTATGGTAAATATGTAGTAGAGATGCAGCATTAATGAAGGGGAAATTGTGACAATCTTATTTGCATTAAAAATTTAAAGCTGATTATTGTTATTATTTTAAATCAGATAATTGCTATTCTACAGTCACGTTTGGCCAGAACATCATTTGATAAGAACAGGTATGTTTCTCTATGTTGATTCAGGAGGCATCTCATCTTTTCACTCTTCGTTTCTAAAAAAAAATTAACATGCTTAGGTAAATATAAAAAGCAAAGAGTAGATCAGCAATAGGAATCTATGCGTTGCCTGATATTGATTTACAATATTTTCTCTATTTATATATGTTTTTCTCACTCTGATGAATTCTGAATTTTTGAATCGCTTATTTCTGTGACAAAATAATAATAACCAAAGAAGTATAAAATATGCTTGGAGACACCTTCGTTGGTTCATGTTTTATTCTTTTGCATTCATGTAGAAAGGGGAAAAAAATCTTGCTTTCATCATGTTCTCCTTGGCATAGATTGGTTATTTGGTCTTAGCTATCTTGAAATGCTTTTGCAAATGTGTTCAGTTTTTAGGTGGATTATACCTTCTAATATGCTAAGCAGCAAAAATTTCACGCATTTACAATAAAATCAGTAATATAAAGTAGATTTCACACTGGTTGTTATAAAATATATAAAGTAATAAATATTATATTCTAAAAATATGTGTAAAGGTATGATAGAAAATAGATATGCTGATAAAGAATAAATAGAAGCTTACACGGATTCTTTCTTTATCATTTGTATAGATTTCAGAACATTTCTGAAACGCTGCATATGGAATGTAAAGCGGAAATGGTCACTCCATTGGTAACTAATCCAGGACATGTATGCATCACTGATGCAAACCTGTATTTCCAGCCTCTCAATGGCTATCCTGTGAGTAACTTGCGTTTTCTAGTCGTCTGCTATTAAAACCTTGATAAGTGTGTTAGCAAAATGTTCTCCAAGTTTATACAATGTGTTCTTTATTTGGTCCTTGGATCAAATCATACAGTTTAGTCTCTAATGAGTTCTGCTTTTAATGCAAATCAAACAACCCTGTCATTTCCCCTAGGTGCTATATTTCCCCAGGCTGAGGAAAACTAGTTTCAGCTTAAGCCTGCTTTTTAGAAATATCCATGTTACAATTAAAGGTAAAAAAAATTAAAGCACACATACAAGTATTGGTCAAGTAATCCACTGCCCTATCAGTAGTGTTGGGTCATGTTCTAATTGGTGACTTACAGCACTGGATTCATCCATCTATTGTTGTGTCAAAGTAGCAATAAAGAGGACAGGCTTATATCACTTCATTATGGCTCAGTGATGCCATGAAGATGGTATGAATTAATAGATGGAAAATGGCCTTAATGGCTATTCTGTTACATACTGATGATTCTGGAACACAAGAATTGGGATGCTATGTCCTAGGTATGTAGATTTCCATTGGCATTTCTATTGGCATGCAACTTTCCATTGGCATCCATCTGGCTTTCCTGATACAATAAGTTAAATGCTTCTATCTGTTTTCAAGGTACCAAACTATCTCAATTAAGAAAGTCAAAGAGTTCTTGCTGTGATGCTAACAAACTAGAAAGTAGATTCATGTATTTCTTGTGAGAAGCCATGGTATCTTCTGCTCACATGTGTACGTTTAATTATATCACACAAAGTTTCTATACTGTGAATCTATCCTTAACATTGAGAAGAAGTTAACCTAATTTTTAATTAGCTTCCTCAGATAACAAATAGCTGGCTATTTCCAGAACACATACAGATTACTGAACAGTCACAGAAGTAGCCTCTCTAAATTAAGATAACTAACCCATCCTGTTAAAAAAAAATCCCAGCAACCCTCCAAAATGGTCTTTTCTTGGATGCAACATCGAAATTCACTGTTGGTAAAGTACTAGAGGAGAAAATGCATCTTCTGTCTAGAACATATGAATAAAACTGGAAGAAATGTGTAATCTTTGACTTCTTTCCTTATAGAAACCTGTGGTACAAGTGACACTGCGTAGTGTCAGACGCATCTACAAAAGAAGACATAGTCTGTCACCTTTGGTAAGATAATACTTGCTTTTGATCCTTGGTATCATAGATGTGCTTCATGGGTTTAAATTTAGCTATTTCAATTCCTGAGGGAGCAAGCATTACACAGTACAAAATCTTTCTGGACTTAGTGGAGCCTGTTTCACAGAACTGATACAAAATTACATTTTGATTGAATTTTCTAGCAACTTAGTTTATGGAAAATCATTTAACAGATTCATGCATTATATAATCATATATTCATACATTATATAATCAAATGTGTATCTCGTTGTGGAAAGCTTTGCTTTGATCTTGGCAGTATTTTGGTAGTTATAAAGGAATAATTTAACCAAGTGCTTGCCTAGTAAAAATAAATTAATTGTGTTGACTTTTTATGCTATAAAATAATCTAGACATCAGTTCTGCTATTTTGAAAACAATAAGAATCAGTTATCTATGCTTAACATCTGCTACATGGATTCTGAATAATTCAGTAGTTTTGTTAACTTCATTACATGTTATTTTTATCTCTTTAATTTTCAAGGGTCTGGAAGTATTTTGCACTGAAAATGATTTATGTTCAGACATCTATTTGAAATTCTACAACACTGAGGACCGAGATAATGTCTATTTCTACGTGTCAACATATTTAGGTTTCAAAACAGTTCTAATAAATAATATAGTGTGTAGGGGGTTGGGAATCAGACTAACTTCAACTTTTTATATAAATTTAGCTTTTATAGAAGATTGGAAGTATTGCCTAGAAAAAGAGCTCTTTTTTATTTTGTGGAGATACTTAGTAGCAGATTCTTAGTACCATCTTTAAATTTGTGTATGATTAGCAGAAGAAAGCCATTGAAAGGTGAGAATCAGGTAAAGAGAGTTCTATATCTTCCATATGTTGTCATTTGATAATATCCCTGTCTATATAATCAGAAGAGCAGCTTTAATATAAGGAAGAAAAATACTGCAACTTGGGGCAAATAACAAAGAGTAGGTATATATTTTGATTAAGGCTTCCATTGTTACCTATGGCTTTTTCCCCAATATTTTTTTTTTAAAAAATACTCTTGGCCAATAATTTTTAGACTGAGTGGCAGATAAATTGTGGCAGAATGTATTAACAACCCAATGTATTAACAGCCCAACTCACTTGAAACTTCAAGTAACCGAATTCACTTGTCTTTGTCATAGTGATCATCCCAGGCATACACCCATAAAAAATAGCAATAGCAATAGCACTTTGACTTAGATACCGCTTCACAGTGCTTTACAGCCCTCTCTAAGCGGTTTATAGAGTCAGCATATTGCCCCCAACAATCTGGGTCCTCATTTTTACTGACCTGAGAAGGATGGATGGCTGAGTCAACCTTGAGCTGATCAGGATTGAACGAATTTAATGCCTGGCAATATTAGCAGAGATAGGCTGCAATACTACATTCTAACCACTATGCCACCATGGCTCTTATTATGTAACTATAATAGTAACTATTATGATTTTTTTTCTGTTGGAATGTTATGCCTGTTTTTTTTATTTTGTTTTTGTTAGAAAACTATTGCTGAAGACTTTATAAACCAGTAAAAACTGAATTTAAGTGAATTTGGAAGCCCAACATTAGCACAAGAGGATGGATAGAGAACAAACGTTAGACCTGTATAACACTTCAGAAGTAATACAAAAAAGGTGATTCAGAATGTGCAACTCTCTAGACCAGCCAGTTTTTTCCTGCAGTTGCACAGTTGCCTTATGGTGCTGCCATATAATATATGTAGTCCTCAACTTAAGACCACAGTTGGGACCGAAATGTACATTGCTAAGGGAAGGGGTAGTTAAGTGAATTATGCTTGACTTTACAAGTCTTTTTGCTGTGGTCAGTAAGTGAATTATCATGGTTGTTAAGTGAATCACAAGATTGTTAATGAATCTAGCTTCCTCCATTGCCTTTGCTTGTTGAAAATTCGCAACTGGTAATCACATGACCCCAGGATACTGAAACCTTAATAAATGAACGCTAATTCCTAAACTCCCAAACTTCTATCAAATGAATGCAGGGATGTTATGACAGTAGTAAGTGCAAGGACTGGTCATAAATCACTTTATTCAGTGCCTTGTAACTCTGAATGGTTGCTAAACAAATAGTCGTAATCCGAGGACTACCTATATTGGGAAAACGTGCTGATTTAAAAAGAAACAGATAGGTGGCACATATTCACCAATTTCTTGGAACTGAATTGCATATCTCTTACAAGCTAATAACAGAATTCAGCAAACCAAATCAAACCATAAATGTAGTAGCATTGGAATAACTAACAGTACCAGCAACACTTCTGTCTGAAGCAAATAATAGTTACTATTATAGTTATATAATAAGAGTCATAGTGGCACAATGGTTAGAATGCAGTACTGCAGGCTACTTCTGCTGATTGCCAGCTGCCAGCAATTCAACAATTTGATTCTGACCGGCTCAAGGTTGACTCAGCCTTCCATCCTTCCAAAGGTCAGTAAAATGAAGACCCAGGTTGTTGGGGGCAATATGCTGACTCTGTAAACCACTTAGAGAGGGCTATAATGTTTTCTCCTAAATAACAATCTTTGTAGTTGGCTATCTTTTTTAATCTCAACCCATCTGCCTAACAAACAAAGTGGAACATGAAACGCACTTATAGTTAATTTGCATGAAATCTAACTTCCCCACAGGAAATTTGTTTTTAAAAGGCAGCAACATATCTACTAGGAAGGCAGGCATGAAGTTCAGAGAAATCTTCATTTATGCAGAAGAAGAGGCTAAACAGAGCCCACAACAGCTCTTATTGCTTTGTCATGGTTGCAAGAGCTGTTGCTTTGGTCCAACATTTGATCTGATTTAAGTCAATACTGCTGGGGAAAATTTTAATAATTCAACCCTAAACCACAAAACTAATTCCTGACACAGCATTTGAAACAAGAAGTATAAATAGCCCTTACAATGGATTGGCTTTAATATAGATCTTGGGACACATGAAAAACCTGAAACTTGAGCTCAGAATATTTAATACACTACCACAAAAGATGTTGAAGGACGGGGGCAGCTATGTATGGTGTAATCCAAAATCAAATGAGGTATGAGCATGGTTAGCGGAATACTAAAAGACAAGTCTAGTTTGGATTAAGAGCAGCATATCAAAATGTGAGCAGGGTCAGGATAAAGAAGGATAAAGTCCTTAAGGATTAAACAAAATCGTTAAAATAACTGATTTTATTCCCATCATATTACATTAATTTGTGTATTTTAATGCAGGCAGATTATCTTCTCCATCATCACCCATCCCAAGATTTTCATTGTCAACTTTTTTGTCATGAAATTTCCATGGAAGACAACTGCTTAGAAAACAATTACTTAGAAAAAAATAGTGGAAGATTTCTTTTAATCATTGCTCATTTTTATATTAGCAAATAGACATGCACAGAATAGGGATGGCAAGATACAGTAATTATTTTGTGGGGTACAGCTTCACCCACTTCTCATAAATCAGTGAATACTTGCTGTCAGGGGAGTGATCTGCCTTATCTGATCAGTGATAAACGATGGCTCTACAAGCCTTGTAAGATAGAAATTCAGCCTGATGCGTGTTCCTTGGAAAGCCTTAATTGCAAATTACATTAATTTCTTATTTGCATTCTGTCACATTTTCTGTATCTTTCTAGAAAATCATATTACAGAGCACACCGCAGAGAGCTACATGTTACAATGGCAACGAGGGCATATCTCAAACTACCAATACCTTCTTCATCTCAATAATCTGGCTGATCGGAGCTGCAATGATCTTTCCCAGTACCCTGTCTTTCCATGGATCATAGCAGATTATTCTAGCTCAGAACTAGGTAAGAGTTCTTTGGAGACAAGCAAAGTAAATGCAACGGGACAATCCAGACCAGGTACTCTGAGCAGTTGGATGCTTGTGCTGTCAGTTCATTTTCTCAAACTTCTGTTTCCAAAATGGAATAGTGTTTAGTAGCAGCAGCATTTTCAGTTGGTTTTTTTAAACTTGGTTTAAACTTGGTATAAACAAGTTGCACAGCCTGCTGCTTACTTTGCTGCATTTAGACTTTTAAATGACTCCTTGAGGAAATACAAGTCAGGAAACATTAATAACAACCTGGGGCATGAAGATAAAAGATTCAGTATTTAGTGAATTTAGATTCAATGTTGCAAAAATCCATTCATTTCAATTAAGGCTACATAGAGTTCCACAGTTTGCATTGTAAGCACTAACTTTGATGTGTTATTCATAGAAAGTAAGGGTCTTGAATAGATTGGAAAGGTTTGCATACATGTTTTCTGCTTATCTAAGAGAAAAACTAAATAAGAGCTGTTAGCATATTTTTTTTCAAAAAAAATGATTGATTTTGCCTTTTCAGGATAGTTTTGAATAAAGTTACTTGATATCTAAAATCCAAAAATCTAATTTCTTTGGATTTTCAACTTGAAGAGAGTATAAAAATGTATATCTTACCAAAATAGCATGTAAAACTAAAATAGCCTAAAATGGATAATTGTGAATAGAAAGTATTAAATGACTGAAACTTTCCAGAAAACATATATTTTATTTTTAAATTGGTTATTTTAAAATCAGTTAAAGAATCTAAATGAGATAAAAATAAATGTTAAAATATTAAAGCATAAAATAGAGAAAAAACCTGTGTTCGTGAAGTGTTTGTCTTTTGGGTATAAGCAGTTAATTACAAAACTGGAAATGGGGTGCATTCATTAAATATACGTTTGCTGGTTTGATTGTGAAGTGAGAATTGGTCTAATTTTTCCATAAAATGATATATTTGAGGGATGAAAAAAAATACTTTTCCACCAAAGTAACTGCAGCGCAGGTATCTGAAAAAACAAAACTTCAGTGAAGTTTTTTTCCTATACTGAAATTATTGGAATCAGTAGACCTGATTCCCCTCCAGCTTTATAGCTAAATATGCAAACACATTAGTCCAAATTCTTCCCAAGGATTGCAATTATGCTTTAAAAGTATAGCTTTAGTATAGCTCCTAATTAGCTTTGATATCTTAAATTTTGTCCATACGCATTAGAAAATAAAGTTGTCATATCATTGTTAATAATATAATATATATTTACAAATGTTCTTTTTTTATAGATCTAACAAAGTCCGAAACATTTCGTGACCTTAGTAAACCTATAGGTGCACTAAATAAAGAAAGATTGGAAAGATTACTGGTATGTAGAAAAACACCTTGTTTGTATATTTGTGTGTGTTCATGTGTGTGTTTGTGTGTTTATGTGTGTGTGTGTAAATTAGTTAAAACAAGTTTTTTGTTTATTGTATTTTAAGTATAGTTTTTTCTAGTGAAATGTTTCAATTTGTTATAAAAGATAGATGCAAAATTGCTAGAAAAACTGGTTTTAGAAGTAATAGTTAAAGAATGTAACTTTACTTGTAGATATTTGAGATGGGAGGGTGATTACTTGGTAAAGGTATCCAAATGTGAGTACAAGGAGATATAGCGAGAGAAAATGAGAAAGCAATAAAAGGACTGGAGGTACAGTGGCCCTTCAGGTGTTCCTAAATTAAAACTCCCTGCACCTCCATCATTGCAGATGTATTAAGCAAAGCTGCTATTTTTTGTGGTTCAGCAACATTTAAAATGTTTTTCTCAAGTCTGTAGTTTGGCTATTATAATTGGCTATTATCTAGGCGTAAAGAGCAGCATAGCTCAAAAGTTTATAAGTGATATATTTAGGCTGGACTATGATTTCTTAGACTGTCAATAAAAGGTTAAATATGTGAATATTTCTAACTATTTTTTTTATTATAAAGCAAGCCTATTTTACCTAAACATTTCAGTATATACAAGAGAAGGGTGGAAAAGACTAGATTAGAATATCTTTCTAAGGTTTTCATATGCAGGTTGCACTGATTTGATAGGTATTTTTTTCAGATATTTTAGGATCAGATTATACTGTACATATAAACAATCTTTTTTTACTGGACATGGGGAAGAATTTATCCAAGTGGCCCTGGAGTCAAGCATGTCTGAAATATAATATATTTTGGAATTGTTCCCTATAGCAGTCCACTGAGATTGAATATATGGTTGTGTCAGTGACTCATTTCAGTCATGGAACAATGTGCACAAAAAATGAAATGCTGACTCACTTTTTAATATAAACTACATGTAATCACTATAGAAAAATTTTATCAGTTAATTGATTCTCCCTATTCCCCCCCCCCTTTTTTGCATTGATAGGTACGTTATCAAGAAATGCAAGAACCAAAATTTATGTATGGCAGCCACTATTCATCACCAGGTTATGTTCTCTTTTACCTGGTCAGAGTTGGTAAGATATATGCAAAATTATTTCAGAGAATATCATTATAGTACTTGAGTGAATATATATATCTAACCTCTTTTGTTTTTATAGCACCAGAGCATATGCTTTGCTTACAAAATGGAAAGTTTGATCATCCTGACAGAATGTTCAACAGGTTAGTTCTAAATTTCGCAACCAGTTCAGTTAACTTTTATGTTTGTCACACTTACAATGTTGCTTTAAATTACAACTGGTTATTCTCTGTACTATTCTTATCTAGTATTGCAGAAACCTGGAAAAACTGTTTAGATGGCGCAACAGACTTCAAAGAGGTAAATTATCTTCTTGTACTTCAGTCTGTAGTAATTGTTTTTCTTCATGTTGCTGATTGAGATGCTGCAGATATGGCATATAAAAATGAATTTCCATCTAACAGATCTAGGAAGTTACCCCAACCTTTGGGGCCTATCATACAGAAAATCCCAAATTGTTAGCATCCCTAGTTATAAGACTAAGATAATAAGTGATATTGGATTTCTTCTAAAGACCTGCAGCCAAACATGATTGAAATAAATTCAATGTTACAAGCTGAAATATACTTTATTATTCACTGAGAATTTAGCCTGATAGATGCTTCATGTTTATCATATTACAATAACTAATCATGAGCTGATGTTCCAGAATGTTATCTAAACATCTGTTAGATGTTTAAATAAAAACAGTTTGAATCAACATTTGAAGCTAAAAGTTATGTTGTATAATGAAAGTTGGTAATTAAATATCCCTTGCTATGGGTAGGTAGAACTATAGATTACATTAAGTGCTACCATGATTGAAGTGGTATAAACACAGTTGAAATAAGCTTTATAAAACTTGGGCTTTCTTTTGTATAGCAACTTTTATTTATGTTGGTTTTTTTCTGCCAAAAAATCAAACATAGGCTTTACGATATCAGTAATGGCATGACATCTTGAAGAGAAAAATTGAAGGGTATGTCTTCAACATCATTGCCATTTTATACATAACCGTTCATTTCCATTGGTGACTTTTATCTAGCAGCATAGCACTTAATGGAGTTTCAATAATACTCATGGGATTGGGAAAGCAATCTTCGTGATCTTTTATCTTCTTGCAGGCTCTGTAAAGTTGAGCTAGAGGGCACAAAACCCATTACAGGGAGAAATGAAAATCTTTTCCATTCCTCTTTCCTATACTAAAAAGCTTGTGTTGTGTTCTGCTTAGTGTTTGTGTTTTAATGAATACATGGAACCTTTGCATTAATATGTGCAATAGAGATCCACAACTGTAAACACATTCAAGAAAAGGTAGTTTGTGTAGATTAAGATATACTGTGGATATATGAATGGTGGCCAATATAAATCTTTGTACTATGGAATCAAGTGTCAGTGGAGATTCTCAGTCATCCAGGTCATGGTTGTATTAAAGGTGCTTTTTCAAGAGGCAACAGGACTTTCTTGTTTTTCTTTGTGGAATCAATTCATGCACTTCAAGATAATTTATTTCACTTTAAAAGATCGCCAAATAGACATTCACTTGACCAATCTGTTGCTGGCACGTAAGAAAGGATATCCAGTTTGGGCTGATATTTTAAAGTAAGAAATTAAAACTCCACAATACCTGGGGTTTTACAGAGATTTCCTGATACCAACTATAGCTTAATAGTTTACTTGGAGTAGACTGAATCTGATAACTTCACAGTTAATGTGAATGCTGTATCTTTGATGTTCTGACATATTGGTGACAAATGCCCACATTTAAAAATAAATGGCCAACAGTGCATTCTACCAATTCCTACTGTGCATTCAACCCAAGAATGGGACTACTGGTCTGTCTTCTGTTAGGAGTTAGTCAGGTTTGGATTTTCTTTTTGAAAGGGTGCAGTCTGTTGTGTGATAGTGCTTTGTGCTGGTTTAGAAGCATGAATAAGCACTAGTCAATGTTTTACTGTAATGCTGTTATGAATATAAATACAATTTTATTTCATTGCTAACAGTTCCCCACTTTTCTTTTATCCAGCTAATCCCCGAGTTCTATGAAAGTGATTCTAGTTTCTTATTAAATAACCTGAAACTGGACTTGGGGAAGACACAAGGAGGAAAGATGGTTGACAATGTAGAACTTCCTCCATGGGCATCAGGTAAATAAAATTTTAGGTGTAACTATTATCTGGATTCTGCTCCAGAGATTTGCTCTCATTCCATAAACTTGTAAAATAATATCCATTTTTCTCCTATTCTGGGCTTTAAAGATGATTGCTACAAAATTCTGAATGCTGATTAATATGATTTCCCGAAGCTTCTTGTGCTGTTTTTAATTATTTTTTTAAGGGAGGTAGGAAAATGTGACTAGAGGTGTGCTGTCCACAACATGCAAGAAATTTGAATATTATTTATTTCAGATGCCAAAGATTTTCTCCAGAAGAGTCAAGATGCTTTAGAAAGCCAGTATGTGTCAGAACATCTCCATGAATGGATTGATCTTGTGTTTGGCTATAAGCAGAAGGGCAATGAAGCTGTTGCAGCTCAGAATGGTAATTTTGATATAGATATTTAAAGTTCTTAAGGGCTATTTTTGCATTTCAGCTGTATGGCGTTCTCTTATACTAGGACTTCTTTGACACACTCTACCCGTTATTGAACACATAACATGTCATAATGTACCAAATTCTCTTCCATATCTATTATAAATTATAATGCTAATGAAAACAGATTCAAGCACATTTTAATGGCATGATTCTAAATATGTTTTCTCAGAAATAAATTTTATTATGTTAAGTAATACTTGCTGCAAGGTAAATGTTTATAAATATTGCTGATTTTTGTCGTATGAAACAGTCTTGCTTGATTATATCCACATTAAATTTAAGTTTCTCTTTTGTTGAAGTTACAGTTATAGGTCATAACTGTAATCTTATATAAATATACACGGAAGTAAATTATATGAATTCTGTTTGGCTTGCTTCTGAATAGACACAAATATGTTTCCATTGTAATTAGGGTAGTAACATCCTAAAGTAGAGCAGGTTGCTTATGTACAGTATTCATTAAGAAACCAGTCAAAAAGTATTGATCACATTTGACTTCTACTTGAAGTAGCAATGGAAGTTCAGTTCTAAGACTTCTGTAATAAAACTTTTATGTCATATACTTTGATTTAGTGGAGTTGGGTTAAATCTGAAAAAAAACCAACTACTGCCTCCACTCCATTGCAGCTAGGCACTACTTGGCTTCTAAGCTGCTGTTTGCTTTCTCCATTCTTTTCATTGTCTTCGGCAGCTTCTCTACCTCTCAGATCCATAAGGCTGGACAATGATCCTACAAACATTCTTAGTTTCTAATCCTCAAATACCAGGTGGCCTCCCTGATGTGCTCAGGTTTTGACTAAAGTCAAAACCTGCTGGGTTTGTGGTTTCTGGAGTTATCTTTTAGCACTGGACTGGTGCTCATGCTGGTGTTAGAAATTTACATAATCAGAGTTCATAAAGAGAAGACTATTTGGATGTTAAGCAGTTATAGAGAGTTAGAACTTTAAAAAATTATATTTCAGACATTGTGCTATTTGTCTTGATATTGAATAGAGCTGAAATTTATTGTGTACAAATGACATAGCACCTTCTTGTGAGAGATTGCAGAATGCTCCTTGATTAAGAGTCTTGCCACAATTGTATTTTCAAGTAAGCAGCATACTTCTCTACTTCTTTTTAGTATTTCATCCCTTGACCTATGAAGGAGGAGTAGATCTGAACAGGTAACTTCTATATGCTTATAATGAGAATATAGCATTCATATTCTTCTGTTACAAACCCTGGTTTTAATTACAAATTTTATACATCTCCCTTTGAGAGAATGCTATGTATGTGCTTAACCCCCACTCATCCCCAAAAAGAAAAAAAAGTATTGCCTCAATACAGTTCTTTAGCATGAATTCTGAGATATCTTGTATGCACTCAAAGGAGTAAACTGACGGTCTTTAGACAATCTTCAAGTTTGCAAAAGCACATAAGCAGCAAAGTAACCTTTAGGAGAAACCCTAAAAAGAATGGAGCAAGATGCATGTTCAGGAATAGTATGCTGAACGCAAAGCATGTTCCATGCCCGAATGCTCCAATGCCTAATCGAAGAGGAGGTACAAAAAAACTGGAGGTGGGAATGAAGAGGTCAAGCAATGGCATAGTCTTGAGGGCATGACTACTTGACTAGGATCACTGCATACTGCAACATTTTGGTGTGTAGCCTACTTATAATCCTATACATTTAATGGGATGTCCAATTTGGAAAGCTGCACCTAAATAATAAAATCAGTAGCATTGGGTCTTTCTCATTCCTGATTTTATAAACATGCTGAGAATAGTTCAAGATGCTCATAAGTTTCTACTCCCCTCTGATTTCAAGTTTGGTGTTGAGATCCTGGTTTGTTTAAATCAAAGTTTGCCTTCTGAACAGGACAATTTTGGTGTGAACATTGAAGCTCTTTCTATCAAAATAGTTTTTAAAAGGGTGATGTTGGAAAAGGGTGATTAAAGAACAGAATACATTTCAAGATAAATGTCAGGCCATTTTGAAGAGTTTGTGGAATCTACATATGAGTTGTGTTTCCATAAATTAATTGCACAATTAGGTAGTTAATATATGTAAATCTTTTTCACTAGTTTAAGAATTGTGCAATTCTGACTAATTCAGTGTTGTAAAGATACTTAAATTAGAGTTGGAAAAACATTTCAGATTCTCATTCCATACTCTTTACTAGAAATGAAGTTGACTCTAAATTTAAAAGGATTATCTCCAAAAAGGAAGAGCAGAGATAAAAGAAAAAAAAATAGGAAAATGACACTTTCTCAGTTTAGGGTTGCCAGTTGCTGAAAAATTTCCTCCTGTCCATATATATCCTCAGATTTTCTGAAAATTTCCTCCCGTTACTAAATGTGTACATAGGACATATAGAGCAGAACAGAAAAGCCTATAAATGTATGTTTAGTTAAACAGTACCAAGAAACTGAATTGCCTATAAAATAACCCTCATGTGTAAATACCATCCATTCAAAGATAAGATTTTTCTCTATCTTTCCAGCAGAAATAACAAAAATAAGAATAAGAGCAATAAGTTATTGGTTGGAAATGGGAAGGAAAGGGAAGAAATACAACTGAGTAAGGATAAAGGAAAGGCAAGAAAACTTTAAAGGAAAAGAAAGAAAAAGAAGGCCTGTTTGGTGAAAAGGGTTAAATTCACCAGACAAGCAGTTCCTTCGAAGTCACAGTCTTCACAGCTGTCCTTTCAACAACAATGTCTGCATCCCTTTGCATTTCCTACTACATAAAGTAATTATTTGGGGTGGAGAGAAAGCCCTCATTTTCCTATTATGTTTGAAATAATTTAGTGAACTTTATAGTTCCTGCCACAAAGGTAAGGAGACAAAGTTCTGTATCTTGAATCCTACCAGCTTAAACTATGAAAACTATTATTGGTAGAAACATACAGATTTAACCTAGTGTAATAAATATGCCCAAAGGTGCTTTTTCCAAAAGGTAATTGGACTTTCTTGGTTTTTTTCTTGGAAAATGTTTCGCTTCTCATCCAAGAAGCTTTGTCAGTTCCAACTGACTGGTGGCGAATTCAAGGATTGAATTCATTTGGTTGTTAGCACTCTGAGGGAAGGTTGTAAGCTCTCAAGAAGAAGCTTGAAGGGAAAATTTTTCAAAGAAAAAAACCCAAGAAAGTTCAGTTGCCTTTTGGAAAAAGCACCTTTAGGACAACTATGACCGGGATGATTGAGAGTCTCCACAGATATATAATGAATATACTATGATGTTTTTCTTGGTACAATGCAAGATCATTTTTTTTCTTCTTCTGAAGCATTATGGACACAAATGAAAGAGTAGCTCTGTTGACGCAAATCTTGGAATTTGGACAGACTCCAAAACAATTGTTCACAATCCCACATCCAAGAAGGATAATCCCAAAATTAAAAAGTTGGTCTCGAGCATCCAGCCTGACTGGATCCAGCCTGACTGAATCTTCAGGTAAATTTTGTAGACTTTTAGATTCTTCTTATTGTTTAGCACATTGCCTGTTTCACTCCCTTTTTTAATCTATGTTGCTTTATCCAACAAAATCTAAAAAAATTGCTAAATAAAATTTTAAAATGATTAAGAAACAGGATATAGTGAAAAATAGTATATGATTTATTAGGAGAACATAGTTATTGATGTTCACAAACATTCAAAATGGCGTGTTCGTTGTTTTTGAAACAAACCTCAAAAATGAGAGGCAGCTATTATGGGATGCCATCTTTTAGGATATGCATGGGTAACCCAAAGTGTACTGATCCTTGTTAGTGGATGAAATATAATTCACAACATTGGAAAGATAAAATTAGACCTGATTTGCAGCAGTTGATTGTTGGTAGGTGATGACATTTGAATTACTCTTTGTACAACAGAGTCATAAGGAAGAGATCATTTATTGAAGAGTTAGAAAAACATTAGCTTTTCTTTTTGAATTCTTTTTATATTACACCTGCTATATAATAATATAGTTAACTGCGAGTTCCATTCATATAGTCATTAACAAAACACTAAAAGATAATTTTGATGATCAACAGGATTGCTTGCAGTATTGTATTACTATCACTGATACTATTTTTAAACCCTTAGTAAAACTCCATGCTTGGAGGGATGATATAATATATCATCTGCCTCCAGAAGCAGTAAATGCTCCAACACTGGAAGTTTTTAAGAAGAGACTGGACAGCCATTTGTCCGAAATGGTGTAGGATTTCTTGCCTGAGCAGGGGGTTGGACTAGATGACCTCCAAGGTCCCTTCCAACTTTACTACTATTACTATCTTATCTCTCTGTTTTGAGACTTTATGGGAAGGTGGGCTGCATATGCCACTCTGACAGCTGCTTTATATCCTTTCCTGCAAACTATTCAGGACCAGGACCCGGATAGCTCTTACAGCTAATATGCTGTATGTAGCCATCCAAATGTAAAGGTCCCCGAATTCACGACCAGGTTTGAGCCCCATCGAATAACCTTTGGCTGCCCACACCTGATGATTACCTATAAGGATGAAATTGATAACTTGGTGCCTCCTGATGGACATTATAATTGATACTTTGGGGGGGGCAGGGGGTTATTTAAGAGAGAAAAAATAGGACAGGAGGGAATGTGAAAAAGCCTGAATTGTCTATTCCCTGAAATAAGATCCTATAGAAAATATACAATTTTTGACTTTCATTTGATTACATTGAGTTTACGTTATTATCATATTTGTCAGTCTCTCCAGGTGAAGAATCTTTTGAGGATCTGACAGAAGAAAGCATCTTACTTTCCTGGAATAACATGGCCAGTTTAAAACTTGAAGAGCAATACAAGATCCACAAAGGGTAAATTGTAGCAGCTAGATGGGCAATTGTATAAAAGAAAACAATAAATATTTGAACTCATCTCAGTGATCTTCAACCCTATTACCACAAATGAAATGCTTAGCGTAGGGAAGAAAATTTCTTTTCTTTTTTTGTCTTTTTTTATTTTATTCAGAACATTAAAATAAAACTCCCAAAAAAGGGAAAAATACAAAAACAAAAATAAAGACTACATCCAAAAAAAGTGCATAAAAACCGAAACAGACATATACATAAATTGTCCTCTCTAGTTGAATACTGTTAAATATATTTCAAAAGTAATAACTCCTTTCCCTTGCGAAACAAACACAATTTATAAATTTCTATAACACTGTTTACCCAACCCACTTAGCCTGACATCAATCTACTATATGGAACCATAGTTAACACATAAAACCAACAGCTAAAATAAATTTCAAAACCTTCTGTTAACAATCTGTTTGTTGTATTTGACTTGCAGAAAGTCCACAATGCTTCTGGTCTACGATAAGTAACCACAATAATTGTGTTTGGCCCATCCAGGATCAAATATCCTCCACTGATTCTTAGTGATATTAATCAGGATACTTTCTAGCAATTGGATTTTATTCCCTAGAGTCATAATTGTCTGTTGTGTGTATCTCCACAGCATTTGTTGTACAAAAAACTATCTCAGAATTATCTAACCAACTTGTAATTTTCAAGTTCACCTCATCCATTTAATTGTAAATCTTGTAGTGCTGTTATTTGCATCTGATTGCCATCTTTTAAAACCATTGTTTCTTTATCAAGTTTTTTATCTAAATTTTCAAGCTGAACCTGTAAGCTGAAAAGTATTCTTTCAGCCCAGCTTTCCCAATAAGCTTTGTCTTGATATATTTCTTGCATTTTGACTACAATTTAATATAATCCAAAATACCTCAGTAGTTAATCTTTCACAACTGGAACTTTTATAGCCAGTCATAAAAAGCTCCTCCCAAAGACAGGAAAAATACTAACAGATAAACCTCAAAACACATTGGGAAGAGTTTTTCCAGCATAAAAGAGATTTTTGTCAAAAATTAAAAAAAAATAAGACTGTGTTTTTTTTAAACCTTTATAGAATACAAAATCCCTGTAGTGAAAGTGTGATACTAACATAAATCCTGGATAAGAAAATTAAAGTTGTTTGGAAAAAAAAAAAATCAAAGTGTCAGGTTGTTCAGAGCTTAACAGCTAAAACAAGTGCTTTAAATTGAGCCATGGGGGTGAAAATATAACTTTGGTGCAATTAAATGTTGAAATTTTAATTCAGGTATCACCAGAACTAACTGGCTATCATTGAGAAGTTTATTTGACCATTTTCATTTTGAAAGCAGAGCTTCTATTGAGTTTGGAGTGGGATGAGAAATCATCCTACACTTTGAATCAATGTGATACCTGCAATTTTGAAATATTGTAAATATTTCTTCCTTTAAGACTTTATGAGTTAAGTACTTACTTTAGTTACTTTGGAGTAAATCCATTAAATACAGATAGATTTACATCTGAATATCAAATTTAGAATTCCCGCGTGGATTAAATGTAATGAGTAAAATCCTTAGTTAGAGACTTCAGGAAACACTGGTGTGAGTTTTCAATCAGCCTAAAGTAACTAAATAAATTACATGATTTTGTTTTGAAAAGGCCAATAACTGGAATTGCCGTGTGTTCTACTTCTAATCAATCTTCTATCTTTACTACATCTCAAGGTGAGTAATGCCTTTATCAGGTGCCTGCTTTCAAATAAAGTGAAATGTTACAATGCCTTTTAAATTGGTTTACTATGGGCGTGGCGAATGTTATGGTCTGCAGAATTAAAAATCCAAAGATTTACAGACTGTCTAAACATTTTAATATGTATATATTATTGAATGCACGTATGAACAGAAAGGAAGGAAGCTGTTCCGTAGTTCTGTGGAAGTGCCAAAAGAAATCACATGGTGTAGAAGTTAACTTCGTTAAATAAGCAGAAGTGTGGACAAATTCCTGTAAAAATATTAAAAGTTAGGGTAGCATAGTACTGTCCCTAGGTGAAAAATATAGTAACAGAAGTGGCTTTATATAAGAACAAGGTAGAGATTTGCATGCTTGCCATAAACACCAGGTTTTGCAAAAGTATACACAATTTGATTTAATTGCATCTGTAGAACAACCTATATTCCTTCCATATTCAGTGAAAATAAATCTACAAAGAGTTGAAGTTCACCTTGTACAAGCTCATTCAAAGACAGTAATGTTTTACCTTTTAATATATATTTACATAGTAATATGAAAAATATTGCCTTTTCATTGCTTAACAAATGCATTTATTATTTATGCATCAATATACAGGACTGCACAAACACCTTTTTTTTTTTTTTGCCAATTGAAAGTCTGTATCCTGACTTGGTTGATTTTTCAAACTGAAAGGTGAAGAATGCCTTTAAATGAGCACAGTTCTTATTATTTTTCTCTCATCATTTACATTAGATTCAACTTTGAAGATGTTTTCTGCAGATTCAAAAATGCTTCAAAGGAGTATGTCTTTCTCAAACATGGTCAGTCCTTCCAAGCCTTTATTGTAGCCTTTTTAGATGTGTACACAAAATTTGGTTGGGACTATAATTCAGAAAACAGCTGAAATCTATGTAGGCTGAATTAGAGGCTGCCTGATTTACTTGAAAACTGGAACTTGAAGTGGGTTTCAAAATATACAAAGCTTCTTGATGCCCAGTGCCAATCTTAAGCCTTTGAATCTGGCCACCAGGATAATGTTCCTTTCAAATCCAAGCCAAGAAACTGATATAAGCTAGGGTATACAATCTCCATTAGGAACACATAGTTAAAGGCCTGATGTAGAGATGACATCCTCTTTGCCAAGTGGTGATATTTCAACCTCCATTCATAGAAAGGTTTGGTGGTTTCACAGGATCCGAAGATTATCTAATATAATCCTTGGCTGAGTGGAGAAACCATTACTGTAAGCATCCCCAACAGTGGCCATTCAGCCTCTGTTTAAATGATTGGATATTGAATGATAGTCAGATAGTCAGAAACATTATGTTCTATTGTTGTACATTACCTCATATTATGGAATGTTTCCTGATGTCCATCTACTTCTAATTTAAATCCATTGTTTTTTCTGGCTTCTGGAACAAGGCTGTCCCATCTTCTATAAGGCAGTCATTCAGATGCGTGAGGGTGGGGGTGGATAATGTAACCACACAGTCTTCTTTTCTTCAGATCAAGTACATTCACTAACTACAATAGTTCCCAGAAGTTTCTTCTCAGACCCTTTTTCATTATCTCTGTTTTCTTGATAGATTCCAGTTTGTCAATATCTTTCTTAAAACATGGTGGCCAGAAATGGAAGCAATATTTTAAATATGGTGTGACTATCTCAAGAATGATTAATTTTCTTGATTTTTACACTATATTTCTGCTGTTGCATTTTAAGAGTGCATTTGCTTTTTTTAAAGTTTAGGTTAGGTGATCTTGTTTGAACTTATATTTAATGATTTTTTACATAAACAAAGAGTAATGCATTAATAATTCTCTAGTGGGAATGTTTTGGTTTATATGGCTCCCTTTTTTCTTTTAGCTACCTTTGAAGATTTAGATACACCAAAATAATGTTCATATGTTTAATTATTTCAAAAGAATAGCTTTTGAATTCATAACATACAAAATATGTTGATTCAAAATATATTAATATTTTAATATATAATTTAATAATATGAAGCAACATTTTTCTTGTTGATTTTGTTACAGGCTTTGTCGTCTTGTTTAATCTTACCAGGGAATAGCACCGTTGTATGTTCTTCATGGGACAATAATATGTATGTGATTTTACACATTCCTAAATGTACATCACTAGTTCATGATTCCTTTTATTGGGACCAGTTTTTCCATGAGCTGAATTCAAGTGAATTTAAGGAGGCAAAAGATTGTGCATGGACATGAGAAATGGAATAGAATTCTTTATTGGCCAAGTGTGATTGGATGTAATTTGATATAATCTGTTGCACAATGGATTACCCCAGTGACCAGATCTGGACAGGTTTTCCTGACAGGAATAGTTATTTCTACCATGGCTAAATATTTGAATGAAGTAGCTGTTAGCAGCTGATAAATGGCAGCAAGTTATTAAGGAGAGATTTTTATGTTACACAGTCTTCTTACAACAGCCTTTGGGAACAACAGAGATTAACAAAAGATTCAATAACCAATTAGTGCAGTTTTGTTTTTTTATCTCAGAGAGCAAAATAATTTCTACTATCTACTGCTGTTAATTGCTGACATTGCAATATTTGCCTTATTAGAGGATTTTCCACTGAAACTAATCAACAGGACAATCCCAAATATAAATGCTGTTTAAAATACTTTAAAAATAGGAAAATGAGAAGAACTACATTTTGGCTTACTTTTGTATGTGCATGTACTGTTTTAAATAAAATTGCCTCCAAAGTATTTATAAATCCCTTTCTTTCTTTCTTTTTAATTTCTAAAAGCTATTTCTACTCAGTAGCCTTTGGAAGGCAACAGGACACCTTAATAGGCCATCATGATGCCGTCAGCAAGATCTGTTGGCATAATAATCGTTTATATTCTGCATCTTGGGATTCAACAGTAAAAGTAGGTATGATTGTGATGGAAGACATTTTGCAGGTCATTATTTTCTACCAAGTACCCTCTAGATCAAGGGTGTCAAACTGCCAGTCCACGGGCCGGTTGCATCATGCGGAGGCCACACCCACCCCAGCTCCAGCAATGCGAAAAAGTCATAATATGTCACGACCCGTCACGTGACGCAGTGAGTTTGACACCCGTGCTCTAGATACAATATAAGTTGACTACAATTTTCAGGATTTAACTCATGCTGATTACAATTTTCAGGATTTAACTCATGCTGACTAAAATTTTGGATTGTTGCAGTCCATTGCATCTGGAGAGCAGCTAATTTTAGAAATATCATACATCTGTAACAAAGTTGTTACAAAAACTTTGTAATTGGATAACAGACTATTCAAAATCTGTCCCTTTTGCAACATTAGGTGTCTATTACAGTGCCAAAACTTTCTATCCATAAATTGGTTAATAGCAGCTAGTTTGACTCATGGACTGTGTCGGTTTGAGATACCTTAGTAATGATTATTTTATAAAACTGCCCCATAAAAACTATTTATCATCTCTAGTTGATCGTGCTTCCTGTGGTATTTATGATAGGTTAGGCGGATTATAGCCTCATGGATGATCCATTATTTCCTGTACTACTGATAGATCTCTGCTCGGAAAAGTAGCATAAGAACAATCCATCAGATAAATTGATTGACAAAAAGCTCTTCATAGTAGAATATTAACAGTTGCAAACAGCTACAGAGATGGCTAAGAGATCTAAGGTGGCTTAGATACATAGGCTTTGAATTGTTAAATTTGTGTAGAGCATAATATACATTTATAATATAAATGTATGATATTATAAATATATAATAATATAGCAAACCATATGGAACAAAACATATGACTTCCAGGGAGCTATCTTATATCTAACATGTATAATTTTATTGAAAAATATAAACACAATATTAATATGAAAATAGAAAAAAGAGAAAAAAGTAAAAAAGATAAGAAAAAACTAATTGTGCAAAAAGAAAAAGAGTAGTAGATAAAAATAATAGAAGGAAATAAAGATATATAGAAATGGCTTCCAATCTTTTTTTCATCTTTTGGTTATAAGCACAATTATAAATTGAGCTGTCTGTCTAAAATTATAATGTTCCTTTCTTCTTGCTAATATCCTTTCTATCTAATCATCAGAACTATAAATTGTAAATTCAAAAAGTCCATAAAGTCACCAATAAATGTAGATATTTTTTTCTTATAATCAAATAAGTCAGTTTGGCCTGTTCAGCATTTTCTGAATATCTTCACTGATCATCTGTTGTAGGTATTGTCAAATCTTTCTATCTTTATGCATGCAATAATCTTACTTCTATATAACAAAAAGTTCCATGGTTTTTTCTCCAATTCCTTATATCTTTTATGAATGGCATAATGAGTGAAACAATGCTTATATATTTCTAGTCACTATGTATCTTATGTCCCAGGTGTGGCACTGTAATCCAACAGAATTATTAAACACTAAGAAACATTTTGAATTGCTTGCTGAATTGGAACATGATGTTAGTGTAAGTATGAAGATACATAACTCTTTTCAGATTGATTGCCTCTGAATCTTGCATCCGAGGATCAAAAATTTGATCAATAAATGTGATTACTTTTTTAAATGATTTAAGTAAATGCGCTCTTATGATTGCTTATTCACTTATTACTTATAGATTTAAGTTTAAGTTTAAAGTGTTAAAAAATTCAATTCATTGGCAATTTTCATATATCTAAACAACATTTTGGTTGGGACAGATTGTTGTGTGCAGGATTCTGTTTAAAATATGCAAATATACTCTAGGAGGTCTGAATTGGAAACATAGTGTACAATTAGTATAATATGAAAAAGATTATACAAATCTTTTGTTTCTTTTCTCTTGTAAGGTTCTTTTCTCAACCTTATTTAGTGAAACTTGTGTATGTAGTACTTTATAAACAATAAAGTTCAAATGCCATCTAAAAATTCTAACTATAGAATAATATGAATATTCTTCCTTCCGTCCACGGTAGGACATCTTTTGGGAATGGATTTGCCTAGAAAAACATAGATTTTATTTAAAAAATAAAGTTGTTGTTACAGTGGTAAAATAAGCCAAAATACATAGATATTTAAAGATAATTTCACAAAATATAGAATTTGAAGAGATCAGAATTTTGGAAATGTCTCATCTTAGTAAAATATGAGCAAATGGATAAATTACTGAAAGATAAATAATTGTTTTGAGAATATATTGAATTTTTCATCACTATTACCATAAAGAGCCATAGAAACTTTATGTTTAATTTGAATTCTTTTTTGGTTTAATCTGGAATTCTATGTTAAGTGGAAAATTGGACTCGAGGGACTGATGGATCTTGCTTTCTTACATCTGGTTCTTTTTGTATACTATACCTAATCAGAATTCTAACTGGGATATTTTCCTTGCAAATTATATGAAAGAAGTGCTTTGGATATTTTGTAAACCTTTTGACTCTAAAAAGTGCTTAATGTATTTATTCTGGCTTCTGCACAAGGGCAATTGCTTTAAGAAAGCTCTTGATTAAAATTAATGTGACTCTTACAGTACACGCAATCTTCCTTTTTCAGGCTCAGGCAGAAGCTGGAAATGATAGGGACTACTTTCATATGTAGCAAATATGTGTGTCCTCACTTTTTAGAAGCAGTCTGAAATATTTTCCCCAAATGTATAAATCATGCATAGCCATAGTCCTAATGCCATCACATCTCACTTGCACTGGAAGAATTATTTGTTTTGTAAAATTTAGCATATATCTTGAAAACTTTTGTTTTGAACAGTGAATGTTGAGTGAAAGAAAATGACAATAATCTGTTGTTTTCCTCCCATTCTTTCAAAACATTTGCAATCCTCTAGTGTAGATTTCCAGAGATTCAAGGATATCTGCAGCATATAATAACAATAAAAAGTTAAGATAGCGGCCACAATGATGCAGGCAAATCTCTGCCTATTTTTACATATGGAAGACATAAAAAAATAAGAGTAGATTTTTTGACCATTCTGAGGCTAGCTCTGAAGATGCCAAATCCCATCCTTCTTGTGCTCATTTTCCCTGTGAAAGTAATCCTTCATTGAAATACCCCCAGTTATGAAAAAAAACTATGCATATAATTTTAAACGTTCAAGTGTTTCAAGCTTAAAGAGTCAGTATCCTAGAAAATGTGTAGAAACTTATTTATTTATTTATGAGACTTATATACTGCTTTTAAGTGCAAGCACTCTCTAAGCGGTGTACACCAGTAAGCAATGTATATATATATTTACATTGCCCCCAACAATCTGGGTCCTCATTTTACCTACCTCGGAAGGATGGAAGGCTGAGTCAACCTTGAGCCGGTGAGATTTGAACCGCTGACCTGCTGAACACAGTCAGCTAAAGTGGCCTGCAGTACTGCACTCTAACTGCTGCGCCACCTCGGCTCATCATTGTATCTATTATTAATAACATGAAAATAAATAACATTGACATAATTACTTAGGTAACAACTATCACCTTGAATCCTGCATATACTCTGCTAGCATCAGGAACAAAAGATGGAACCATTAGTATCTGGGATGTTCCTGCTGCTTCTATACTGCATCGCCTTCCGTGCCACTCAGGAACTGTTTTGGATGTTGCTTTCAGTCCTGGTATGGATAATTCAAATGTTCTTCTTAAATACCCATTCTGTCAAGGAAAACACGCACCCTAATAGATAAACAAAGTTATTATCTAATTCTGGATTGGAAACATACAATTCCAATACAATACTTGTTTGTGTTGCTGAGGAAACAAGGACCATCACAGGTAGTCCTTGACTTTGAACCATTCGTTTAATGAAGTTACAACAGCACTGAAAAAAGAGACCTATGGCTGTCACTTACAAATGTTGCATCATCCCCATGGTCACTGATCAAAATTTGGACATCGGCAACTGGCATTTATGATGGTTGCAATGTCCCAGGGTCATGAGGCTATTTTCTGCGACTATCTAACAAAGTCAACAGGGAAGACAGATTCACTTAACCCCTGGGTTACAAACTTAACAATTACAGTGATTCATTTAACAGCAGTGGCAGGAAGGGTCATAAAAATGGAGCAAAACTGCCTTAACAATTGTCTTGCTTAGCAATGGAAAGTTTGGGCTCAGTTGTGGTTATAAGTTGAGGACTACCTGTATATTCAATTAGTTTATTCTTCAGTAAATGGATTACAGATTGAGGCTCCCAGTAAGTAGACCTCCCCAATCATCTCATTTTGATCTGGGCTTTATAATCATAAAACACAATAGCAGCTGTAACAAAGTTTCGGTCACCATTGTTAGCTTGCCTTCCATTGCATTTTTATGTTAGTAATTTGTAGCATATTAGTTGTTTCACAGAAGAAAGACATCCACTTATAGTAGGTGTTTTTCCTTGCATGCATGCCTGCAGTCAAAATGGTGACTGTAATTTGGAGAGCATCTTTCTTTTATCAACTAGCTAATTTTCCTGAAACTGAACTATGATATCAGGTTTTGAGGCTTATAGGTATTTTGTTCTCTGCACAGTCAAGTATGTAATATATCTAATAGCTAAAATAATTATATCATTGTATCTGTGTGAGGAATTACAGATTGTGAGTTGAAGGTCTCTCTGAATCATGTATGGGATTGAAGCACTATGTTCTATAATGAAGACAAGGTAATTAACTTCAAATACTTGAACTAAATACCCAGTGTATCTATTCTTGTAATATAGATAGCCGGCACCTATTAAGCACAGGAGAAGATGCCTATTTTAAAGTAACAGATGTGCAAACTGGAATGATTATCTCTTCTATAGTTTTGGAGCAGACTCAAAGGTAATCTCTTTTGCCAATTTTAATTTTTTAAAAAAAATATTGTTAAAACTCTATCCTGTATATGAAACAGATTAGTTTTGAAAAATTTTCATACATATTGTCTCAACATGGGACCCATAAGATTCATCTCATAAGATTACCTGGGGGGGGGGGGTATAGATGAATTTTGCAATCTGGGCTTGTTCCTCTAAAGTTAGCACAAAGTTTAATGTTTGAGAAATATGAAAATGCAAAACATCTAAATTACCTCCTTAGCTTGGGTACATTTGATTGTAGTCATGGCGTAAATTTCCCAAATTAACACCAAAATACAAATACATTTCTTTTTCTTACAGTCTGAAACCACACTTTTTTAGCAACAAATGCCTATGTTTATTAAACCCTGGAAAGTGTAGGTATTGACGACAGTACAGTTATATAACATCAAATGATAACCAATTTTGGTTTGATAAACTTATTTTTGCAGATGTTTCAAGTGGGATGGACACATAGTTTTATCAGGAAGTCAGTCAGGAGAATTGTTTGTTTGGGATATACTTGGAGGAAAAACAGTAGGAAAAATTCCGGGACATGCAGGTATGTTTGAATATATTTTTAAAATGTTTCTTGGTGACATTTCAAATCTCTGAAGCCCTTAAATATTTGATAAAGTGCATGCTCACCTTATAGCTTTATCTTGGTTTTTAAACTATTATATTAAATTATTGATCTTGATATCAAGAAGAATCCTAAGAACTTGTATACTGTAGAAAGAAGTCAGAGTATTGCTGTTAAGGGTCCTATTAAACCATTCAATGGAAAATCAAAACAATATTGGCTCATAAGGTTCATGACCTTTGTTATATGTATGCCAGGGGTGTCAAACTGCTGGCCCGCAGGTCGGACGCATCAGGAAACCATGCCCACCTCATTGCCGGCAATGGTGAAAAAGCTTCGATACGTTGTGCGACATCACATGACATCACAAGTTTGACATGTCTTTTTTTTTATAAGCAAGTTTTATTAATTTTTCAGATTTTTACATCCAAGTGCTTGGGAAGCAGCATGGTGATAGAGTAACCAATAATCCAATAGTAAAATCATTCGTGTGTATCTCAGGTTACATCAATAGAAATTCCTTCTCTAATTCCCTTAAATATTATATCGTGTTCATATTAATACATTTCCAACTAACGCTCAATCAATGAATATATTTATCAATGACATTTTACTTATATATATCCAAGTCCTGTTTTTAAGTTTTACTTAATTCCATTTACCATGTTCTAATTTAGCCTTTTATAACCAATATTTAAGTTTCAGACAACCTTAATTTCCCTCATTTCATTATAAAATACTTATAGAATAGACATATTGTTCCAAAATTTACCTTCTTACTTTGTTCACAAATATATTCTATTTCATTTATTAACAAAATATATTCCATTATCACAAATGTATTTCCATCTAACAATCAAAACTATAATTAACAATTAATTTTAATTTCCCTTATAAGTCTTAATCCTGAATATTAAACCAATCACTCCAAAAAGCTACCTAGACCATTAAGTGAATTTTTAAATCCCATTTTTAAATCTAACTCTGGCTTTCTTTTTGTGCCAAACAGGTTTCCATACCAGTTCCTCTGAATCCACTGATGTCTCTCCCTTCATTCCCACACATGTTGTTTGAACCAAGGGAGAACATCCAGTTATCAATTTTTCAAACGAACTGGCCCCTTTGTAATAGTTAGGTTGTTGCCCTAATAATTCAAATCATGTTTGGTTTGGAATATTTGTCATCAGTTCAGTCTGGTCCTCTTGTTCTTCTTCCAGTTTTGTCTGAGTAAAGTAGAGAGTCATATCCGGTATTGTAGTTATTGTTTGATTAACTAAATTATCTAAGTTCTCGATGTTATATGTTTGTTGATCAGTTCCTGTTGTTTTTGGAGTTATAGATACTGTAGTTAAAGTCAGTGTTGGGTTAGCAAAAGTTGTAAATGTTGTTGTTCCTCTTCTGTTTTTTTTGGCTTATAAATTGATCATCTGGAGTCTGGGGTTCGATTTGTAGTTTTATAAAAATATCCTCGGCTTTCACTTTTGATTTGATTAGCTCAGTAGCTCCAAAAATTTTTCAAGAATAAGTTTATAGTTGAGTTGTGGTAGAGTTCCTCCGTTTCCATGGTGATTAAAGATAGTCCTTTAGTTGAGGCTATGTTTAGTAAGAGTCAACCAATGTTCACTTTCACACTTTTTAAAAATTGTTTTCACCAGCCAGCTGTTTCCAATTCTTATCTTTTGGCTAATATGAAGGACAAATCAAGGGAGTCAACAGGCACAGTTGAAAAAACAAAGAAATTCAGTTGCTATGCCATGTTTCGCCACAAGATGTCCCCAGCAGACCACAACATCTTTTCTCAAACAATTAACTTTTTTATTTTTCAGTTAGAAAAGCAGAAAAAAGGTATTTTCCAAAATTACATTTGACATGTCTGATGTATGCTAAAGCTTAGAATATTAAGAAGTAAGGAAAACATTTTTGAAGCTACTAAACCTGTGAACTATTCCAACCAAGAAAAAAATAGAGACAACAGAATCTGACTGCCCAAAAAGTTTAGTGAAGTTTAAAGGATGGATATAGGAGGGGCAAAAAAAATATCAGTTTGACTTGATTGATTTATAGGTTTCCGTACAAATTGATTTATAGGCTTCTCTTTATGACTCTGGGCAGCCTTTAGCCTGAGCATTTTCAAACAATTTTAAGCAAACCAGGATCTTCAGTGTAGAGCAGGGGTCTTCAAACTTGGCCCTTTTATGACTTGTGGTCTAATTCCCAGAATTCCTCAGCCAGACTCCTGGTGTAGAGGCTACATTACAAGGAAATAACACTGTTGCCTTCATCCTACCAACTAGGAAGGAATGTAAAATATTACATTCACAATCCCCATAGCAAATACTTTTTAAAAAGCATTCTCTTTCCTGTTATTGGCTAATGTGCTTTTCATAGTTTGGAGATATTTTTATAATACAAACTAATCAAAAAGTATCAGAAAACCAGAAACAATGTTGACCTCAAATTATTCTGTCTTGGCTTTGAGGGATCCTTGGTGTTCTCTGAGCGTGGTTGTTTTCTTGCAGATATTTCATTAATCAAACTAGGTAACATCATCAGGGCTAGAAGGAGTGAAGTTTGTTCTCAGTTTATATTCTAGTGTCTTGCCCTGTCAGTGTTGGTGGGGATGATCTTGGAATTTCTTTGGTTGGACTGCTTACTGTTAGCTTGTTTGGCATTCTCATGATTGCAGTATTATTTACTTCTTGATTGTTGGTTTGATGTTAATTTTGCAGTTAATATATGCTCATCTGAGTGCTGATTGCTGGTGGGGAGATGTTTTGGTCTTTTTATTCTGTTTTTGGCTCATTGAGTCTCTCTTTTGCATAGCACGTAGAATAGATATTGTTTATGTATCCACTGATGGCTAATTTGTTAGAGTGTCAAGCTTCTAGCATTTTTGGACTGGGCTTGGTCTAGGATCGTCACAGTTTCCTAGATGAAACTATGGTTAAGTCTGTCCATATGTTATGAAATTAAAGAGTTTTCAACATGTCTTCTAACTACTAATTGATGTTCATAAATGTATTCTGCCGGTCTTTTCCTGTTTGTCCTACGTAGTAGCTGTTGTAGTCATTACAATGTATGTTGTAGATCAGGGCTTTTCAACCTTTTCACAGATTGTACCACTTTTAGGACATGCCAATATTTGAGTGCCACCAGTGCTTAGCAAGGTGTCAAAAACTTGATGACTAAAAAAAATTGGGGAGGGGGGTGGATTTCACGTTTTACTGATTAGATTCATTTGTTGTTATAGAAATGTCTAGTTTATAATATTATGGAAAACTAATAAGTTGACGTTCAATGTTAATGCTTTCTTCTACTGCAACAGAGGAAGTATGTTCTTTTTCCCTTCTCCCCCTCACTTCCCCCCCCTTTTTTCCCCCCACTGTGTCCCACTATTTGCTTTTGTATTTTTGTATTTTATTCTATAATCCAGGGGTGTCAAACTCAATTTCACTGAGGGCCGCATCAGCATTGTGGTTGCCCTTAGGGGGCCGGGTGGGTGTGGCCTACTGGGTGGGCGTGGCCAGCTCTACACCGTTCGCGTCAAGGGTGTCTATGGGGGCCTGGGCAGGAGTGGGACAGATCTGAGGGTCTCTGGCAGAAGGGAGAGGGACCAGGGCAAGCGCCAAGGCATGGTCCATTTCTTCATTCCTCACAAAGGGTGACACCTCCCCAGCATGCATGCAGGGGGTGGGGCTGACGTGGCAGGGGCCAGTCCCTTGCTGTTTCCAGACAGCCTTGTGGAGCATAGATGGCCACCACAAAATTGTACATTGGCTCCTGGCCAGCCTGGGCCAGGGCCAAGGCAGTGGGGGCCATTCCCTCACTGTTTCCAGGATGGCTTCGCGAGCCACATGAAACCACTTCGCGGGCCGCATCTGGTCCCCGGGCCTTGTGTTTGACATGTCTGCTATAATCTAATCAAATATTACAAACTGTAGAAAAAAAGAACCAGTTTTAATTTCTTCGATGGCTGTTCCTGTGCTGAATCACTTTCCCTTCGCACTGACAAATGTATGATGAATTTATCCATGTTTATTAATATGCACCACTAGCAGCTAGTTCAGGGGTCTTCAAATATGGCACTTTTAAGACTTGTGGACTTCAATTCCCAGAATTCGTCAGCCCTCATGGCTGGTTGAGGAATTCTGGGAGTTGGACCACAGGTCTTAAAGTTGCTAAGTTTGTAGACTCCTGAGCTAGCTGGTTTGCCCTTCTGAGCTCTTCCACAGTGTAATAAGAATGTACCCCCCAATCCTTTCCCTGTACCCTTAAAGACACAGAAATCAAGTGCAAAGCAAGAAAATAAAGAAACCCAAACTCCGTTTTTTTTTTTCTCTTTTAGCTGCCTCAGGCGTGTCACTGTCACAATGTTGCAATTCTAGACTGAAAGGCTCCAACAATTGCAAAAAGCTTTAGCTTTCAAAGAAAACTTTCTAAAAACCAGACAGACTCAATTAAAGGGGATAAAACTAATTACATTTGTTTAAAGGGATTAAATCTTTCCTGTTATCTTTTTTTCCCTTTCCCCATCCAAACCATGTTTTTGTAGCCTCTCTTCTCTTTCACCCCCCCCCCTTTTTTTTTTCTTCAGTTCACCTCAGCTCTGAGCTGCTTCTGGAACTGCCAATCAGCTGGAGCCCTGCCGGCTCCTGGGGCTTCTGCCAAGCCCAGAGAGTTCTGCAGCTGCCTCTCCCTCAGGCTTGGCTCGCCTCAACTCATTCCTCTCCCCTGCTACACTTGGATAACAATCATGTACCACCTGCCATATGGCAAAGTACAAGTGGTACGCATACCACCAGTTGAAAAGCCCTGTTGTAGATGACAGCAAACCCCACTCCTTACTAGAAGTGATGATGTTACCTAGTTTGGGTAATGAAACGTCTGCAAAAAAACAGCCAAACTCAGAGAGCACTAAGGACCCCTCATTTCAACCCTGAACTTCAAACAGTTAGTTTTGAAAGTACCAGTCCCAAATCAGATGTTTGGAAAGAATAATCTGCCTTGCCAATAGGGATGCATGATATTCCTTTTTACTGTTTCCTGTTCATTAATCAACAGTTTATAGGACAGTTTCATGTCCCACCATTTTTAGGTTAGCTTGGGAGTTTTTGATATATTATTCCTGACATAATTAAATATGACAAATTCTATAACTTGCTTCTCAAAATGTAGATTTCATAGGTGCGGTGAGCTAACATCTTTTGCAGTTGGAATAAAATTAATTATGAATTGTAGATAGCAGGCTGAGGAAGGTGGTTGCAAATGGTCAATCTGAATGACTTGTATATGTGTCTTCCTTAGGTGCTGTGACGTGTATGTGGATGAATGACCAGTGCAGCAATATAATTACTGGAGGAGAAGACAGACAAATTGTGGTCTGGAAGCAACAATACTAAGTGCTTTTTCTCTGATATCTCAATCCTTAATATTTTAAACCAGAATTTTAAAAGGACCTTGCCTAAATGTAAAAATGCTTTCTATGGTTCAGACAGAACTTCTGGTCCCCTCTCCCCCATTCCTGTTGTATATTGATGAACACATTACAAATATGTGTATGCACTTGCCTATTTACTGAAGTAATACTGTAACAGCCTGGGGTACTTGTCGTATACTTCTGTTGAAAATAAATTTATTTTTCTGTAACCAGTATGTTCTAACTTGAAATCATACTATCCTATATATTGTTTCCTGTGTATGTTTGTCTTCAAGTCAGTGTTGATGTCTGGTTACTGCCTAGACCAGGGGTAGGAAACCCAAAACACTCAAAGAGCCACTTGGACCCATTTCCCACCAAAAACAAAACACCGGGAGCCGCAAAATCCTTTTGATATCTAAAATGAAGATAACACTGCATATATCCTTTTTTACCTTTATTATAGGTGTGTGTGTGTTTGTGTGTGTGTATATATGTGTGTGTGTATGTATGTATACACACACACACACACACACACATATATATATATATATACACATTCATACAAATACACATACAGGTAAAAAAAGGATATATGCACTGTTATCTTCGTTTTAGATGTCAAAAGGGTCTCTCTCTCTCTCCCTCCCTATCTGCCCTTGGTCTGCCTGCCACTCCTCTTCCCCCACTCTTTCTTTCTCTCTCTTTCCTCTGTCTCCCTCTCTCTCCCTCCCTCTCTCTCTCTCTTTCTCTCCTATCTGCTGCTCACCTGGCAAGCTTCAAGCTGTTGTCCAACAACCTCCGGGGTAGGCAACCTCATCTCTTTTATGACTCATGGACTTCAACTCCCAGAATTCCTGAGTCAGCCTAGCTGGGCTAGCTAGCTCTCTCCTGCCCTTCCTGCTTCCTGCAGAGACGCAGCAAAGGGAGGAGCTCCGTCCAGAAAGCTTTTCAGCTCCTCGGAGAGAGAGAGAGAGAAGGAAGCAGGGAAACGCAATTGCCTCTCTCTGTCTCTGTCTCTCTCTGCAAAGGCAGAGGAGGCTGGGAGCCACAGGGGAAGGCTCAAAGAGCCGCATGCGGGTCCGGAGCCGCAGGTTGCCGACCTGTGGCCTAGACAAATCCCCGCGGTTTTCTTGGCAGTAGTTTGCCAACATTGCAATCACTAAATTTTATCTTTATTCGAAATTAGTGGGCTTGTTTGCCATTGTCTTCTTCTTAGGGCCAAAGTGAACCAGTGGGCTTTGTGCCTAAGAATCTACGGTCTCCTACTTTCTAACTAACAAGATTTTATTCAACTTTATGTACCTGGCAGAAATGCTTTCCCAAACTTCCATCTCAATATGATCATGTTTTTACTATTTCACCCTAGATCACTCTGTCAAACAGCAGTTGATTGCTAAATCAATAATTTGATAATTCTGTATTTTTATTGGGAAAGTCTCTATTTCTTTCCTGATTTTATAAAGCTGCTTGGAATGATATAAATCAGCTCATAAGGTTAGAATATTATGTTTATAGTACCCATTCCTTATCAAATACCTTCCCACCTTCTTACTAAGGAATTATATCCATGTTGTCATGATTTGGCATTATTATTGAGTGCTGGTGAAAAGTGGAGTTTAAAATTCTCATCCACATTCACTAGATCTGACCTAGATCGCTCCTTATCATTTCTCACTAATTTTCACATTTCACTGATCTTTGATATCTCAGTGTTTGGACTGGGTAGTATTTCATTTACTAATAAATATTTAACAATGTTAAATGACAGTCATTATCATTCTACCTTCAGTTAAGTCCAGTGCTGCAGTTTAATCTCTCAGAAATTTATCAACTGTGATGGTTTACTGGCCAAACCAAAACATGAATCCTTTTTCACCCTCCACTGCAAACCAATGTGTAACGTGCTTGCATACTCACTGCTGAGTCCCATTCAAATGCTGATCTCTCTATATACTGTAGTGTTTAAAAATTACAATATACTGTTTTAATGAATCTCTTAAACTTTTTGCGTCTGCTTGGGGTAGTAGTGGTTAAATACTGTTCATTTGCCATAACATTGTTTAATGTTATTATCTAGTTCTCTTAAACATCACCTTCTAAGGCAGGCGTGTCAAACTCGCAAAGTCACATGACGTGTCACAATGTATCACAACTTTTTTTCCATTGTTGGCAGGGGTGGGCGCGGTTTCGCCATGACTCATATGGCCCGCAGGCCGGCAGCTTGACACCCCTGTCCTAAGTTGATCAGTTTAATAGAAAAACATGTTATTAAATTGACAATGCAAGTCATAATTCCCAATGATTCTTCATTAGTACGTGCTAATAAATCATTTACTTTGAGAGATAATTCTATTATTTTAATGCAGATATGATTGCTAAGCAATTAAGGATTACATCTACTTCCTTGTATTACACCTGTGATAGAATTCACATATTATATGCCATTATTTGTAACTTTTTTTTCTATTTGCCAGGTTGAGCTTATCTTCTAGCATTAAAGCTTGACATCCAACTGATAGAACTTCATCAGTAAATTGCTGATGATTTCTTACTACAATTACTGTATCAAAGCTTATCTGCTAGAGAAATAAATTAAAAACCCTAATGAGTATGCTGTTAAAATGTTAGTCATCTCCAATATTAATTTTATTTGATATTAGTAAAATTAGTTCATGTAATGAAAGAAATACTATAGCCTACACTGAATTTTACTATTTCAAGAGCCCATAAAGCACACCATTGAGGTAAAATGTTTAACACTTTCACTGCTTCCTTTATGCTGGATTATACTGCTAATAGTCAGGAAGGATTTAGAGATTCATAAATGCAAAATACTACCCATTTAGAAAGTGAATATATTTGCAACTTTATTTCAGTTTTAAGAGGATTAAGGCAACACAATATAAGCATATTAGAATGATTTTATAAGACAGCAAGACGACAATTATTTTAAAATACTTATGGAATGATAAATACAAGCTATGCTCAGTTTAACAAGCATGCTTTCTGTAAACAAGATAACTAAAATCAGTTAATTAACACTAAGTTATATTCTCATTGATAGATGCAGTACAAAAATGAATCTGAAAAAGTACGAAGAGCAGCAGTATATCTGGGTCAAAGAAAGCAAATACTAGATGCTTTCACAAACATTAGTTTTCTTCCATTTTTAATGACAGAAATTTTCCTGACCTACATAGTACAACCCTATGAAAGAAGCATATATTTCGTCAAAGTAGTATGATGAATACAAAATGGAAAATTTGAGCAAGGTTTTATGTTGAAATGTGACATTCCCAGCCATAATGTTATCTAAATGCTCAATGCAACATTATGTCAAAGAAAGGCTCATGTGCAGAATGTAAATATTTCAGAGATGTAGTAGCCCAGGTTCAGCAGTGTCTCAATTACAAAATAATGCATCCAAAATAAATTTTAGACTTCAGGAATAGTATGATCCATCAAGCTTTTTATAATACTTGAAGCCATCCTAGAAAAAAAAAGTTCACAATGTATTAGCTCATAACGGAATATGCAAGTCATTCAAAATTTGCAGTATTACAAAAAGAATAGAGCAAAATATTTGAATTATCCATAAATTAGTATTAGCAGGTTTGTGTAAAAGAATTGGCAGAGCCTGAGGAGGAATAAAAAGAGGGATCAGTTTAGAGTTCTTCTGCAGCCATAAATCAAATGGCTGACACTTATCTAATACTAATCAGATGCTGACCACTAATTGAAAATATTCCTATGCATAGACTTTTAGCAAGTTAATTTTGAACACTTGCACATGGACCTAGTTTTTCACATCTGACAGCTATGATGTTATTCAACGAGCAAATATATGCAAAGAATTATAACTTTCATTAATATGTGGAATCCTTGGTGCTCTCAGGGTTTCGTTGCTATCAAGCAGAAAAAAAAACATAATCAAGGAACTACAGAAGAGAAAAACCACAACCCCTCAAAACTGGCAGATTGTATATAAGCAGGTAGCAAACACCACATTCACTTGTATTGATTGTTATCTAGTAGAGGAATGAAACATATGCAAGCAAACAACCAAACTCAGCACTAAGGACTCACAATTAAACCCTGAAATAAATACATATTCTTATATTAATATGTTTACTCTTAAAAAGAAACTTCAAGAATTAAAAGTGTTAAGTTTTCAATTATTTCAGCAATAAAGTTTAGATGCTTTCCAATTTAACTGAGGATAAAGTTGCTGGAATAAGGTACAGATAATCCTCACAGTAACCCTAATTTGGAAGACAATTATTTCTAAGCAAAGCAATCATTAAGTGAGAAATCATGTCACCACAACTGAGCTTTCTCGCTAGAAATAGATAAGACTACTGTTTCATATCTACAGTTTCTGTTTGCCCCCTAACTATTCCTCCATTCTTTGGAATGTTCAAGTGCCTGCTTACTGTCTACTAAAAAAGCTTCCTCTCTTGAAGTCCACTTATCAAGGGAAGAAAAAAATAAAAGTCAAATTCGGGCATAGGACAAAATGTGCAATAGTAATGGTGATCACATTTCTGAGGGACTGTTCCAATGGTCATAATTTGGTCAGAATTATTTTTTCAGCACTGTCATTACTTTGGTCCATGAAGAAATGGCTAGTAAAGAGAAAACTACCTGCATTTTATCTTCACTGTAAGTTCAATGCATTATTATCCATCCTTTCAAAAGATAAGAGCCCATAACACACATATTAAAAAATACGCATACCTTTTTATTATGTGTTCAAAGATCTGGGAAGGCATGATAGTAATGGTCACTACATTTCCAGCTGTTGATAATATGTCTGCAATCTGAGAATCCTGGTGAACAAAGTGTAAAAGTCATAAATTCTTATAAGCTTTGAAGTTGTTTAGATAACCACAATGGTTTTAACTTTGTTTTAGTCGAACTAGAATGAATAAAATAGTTTAATAGTTTAAATTAAAATAATACACAGGACCAATTTTTTTCGTCAAAATATGTCAAAGACCAAATTTGATGAGTTTCAAAGCAGTCAAAAGCCAAGGTACAATTGTATATTACTGATATGTTAAGAAATGAGGTTCTTTGACAATTTAATGGATTAGAGTACCATATATTTACAAAAAACTTATCATCTACCTTCAGGCCAATTACATTCTGTCCATTAATTTCACAAATGTTGTGTTCAGTAAGAAGTCCATTTCTTGCAGCAGAACTATCCTTTACTATTGAAGTTATTTTTCCATTTTTGAAAATAAAGCCAACATGTCCTGTGCTATCCTTGTGCGTGGTAATAGTCCGTTCAAAAGGCCTAGAGGGAAAATGTTTGTACTTCAATACTTATAAAATTTATTGATGTATTACTGAACCACTGTCCACAATAAAATTAACCCCAAATTTACTGGCTGTGCAGAAGCGTATTAAGATAACAATATAGAATGCACAGATCTTACTAATATATTAATATAATTCAGGTGATATGCAATAATCCTGCAAGTTTACCTGTCTCGAATAATCATGGAAATTCTCTCCCCAGGAGCTTGCTTCAGAATTTTATGAGCTTTATCAGAACTCCATCCAGCACAATTTTCACCATTGATTTGGAGAACCTGGTCTCCAAATCGCAGGCCAGCCAGTGAGGCCGGGGAGTTTGCCTGAACCAGCTGAGCAAATATACCCTAGAACAACAATGTTTGCCAGTTTAGGTGGTGCATGCAGATATAATTCCCGTATACATTAAAAGCAGAGGAGAAATATAATGAAGAAATCTATCATTTTTCTAAATAAACAAGTCCCAACATTTTATTAACATTACTATATTACAAAGATTACATCCTCCACTCCCTAAATTTAATTTTAAAAATGCATAAATTTGATAAAATTTCTTACGCTAGTATTAGTTCTCTGATTACACTATTAATTTTATTACTCATGAAAGTGTTTAATTTTAAAAAAGTTAGGAATTTCTTTCTGACTCATAAACCTTTTTCATTTTTTAAAATATTTGTTGCTTACCAACTCACATATATTGAAAGTCATATAGCAGACTAAGGGCTGAAAGATAAACTATAAAGTTATGTAACAATTTGTCTATTTTGAATTCTATAGCATGAAAACATTATACATACATTGTCCACTGACTTAAGACGAAGACCAATTTTTCCATCCTGATCTTTACACAAGAGCAGTTCACGGATCCCCTGCTTAATTTCTGCTCGACGAATTCCAACATCATTTCCAGTTACTGGAGCTACCATGTAATCTGATGCAGATCTTGCAACAAGCTATGGAGTACAAAAACAATCCCCCCCAAAATAAATTAAAAATCATCACAAATCCTATTATCAAATATAGATCTTTGATGTAAATGTGTCAGACCTATGTGTGGTTTTATAGTAATATTTTTAGCATCTATAAAATCACAATTATGACAAAGATTCAAGTAAATTCAAGCTGAGCAAATACATCCACTGTTTTAACATAGCACATGTAAGTTTTTTTGTTACGACTTTTTCAATTATAAGGGAGGGAATACACAAGAAAGTATCCCATCTTTATTTCCCTTTTTTCTTAATTCAGTCCCTCAAAATCAGTAAAGCCCAAAGGAATCCCTCTTCTCGGTTATGACACTTACCCCCTGTGAATTTGCTGCAGGAACCATTGCCAGGTTTCTCTGGATTTCCTCATCATTCAAACTTATACCCATATACTGGGAAAGTTCAGGATACAATTTAGGGTATAAATCTAAAACAAGTAAAAAAAAAGTTACTACAAACTTACTATAATGGTATTTCTGTCCCCTCAGTTATACTCTTGGCAAAATCAACAGCATGCCTCATATTTCACCAATCTTATCCTTTGGAATTTTAAAAAACTTAACACACTAGTTGGAGGTACTAAATTCACTTACCTAAAGCTTACTTTGATACCTCAGCAATACTACATTGTCTTACAATGATTCTACACTACAGAAAATGGTTTTCTGTTTAAAAATAAGACAACAGGTCACAAAATGTATACTGCACTCCTTTGTGTTCAAAATTCCAAACTGATTATATAAGCATATCAAAAAGTTTGATTTACTTTTATAACAAATGTGTATATATAAATTGATACTATCATTCTCAGAAAAAAAAACAATGTATTTCAAGTACATATTATAAAATATAGAACATCATTGAGCTTTTTTCTTTAAATTAAAACCTGCAAAATTCATTTGTTTTGAGATAAGGCAGAATTCATCAACAGACAGGATTTCAAAGGCTAGAAAATAAATATATGCTTGGATTATGAAAGTAAGATCATATTAAGAGCAAAACATATAACAATCAATTAAAAGTCCTTCTACAATCAATGAAATTTATATAAAATATCAAGCATTTTTCAAATCTTATAGCAACTTACTTCCATCTTGTAAGATCGGTGCTGAAGTTTCAGACAGAATTGCTGGGTTAGCTGGGTTTGAGGCAAAGGATGTCTGAGCCTATACAGAAATAGGATTTAAAAATGTAAGGATTAAACTACATAAAAATATTTTAGAGTCAGCTCTTGGTTAATGATAACTTGTTAGCAACTGTTCAAAGTTACAAGGACACTGAGCATAAGGTACTTATGATTGGTCTTCAAAGTCTGGCCATCCCAGCATCGCTCATGATCACATGATCACAATCTGGGTACTTGACACTCAGCTTACAATCGTTGCAGAATCCTGCAGTCACATAGTCACCATTTGTGATCTCCCTGCTAATGTCCCACAAGCAAAGTCAATGGTGAAGCCAGTAGGGAAGATTATAAGTTGGTCCTATTAAGTTGCTTCCACAGCTTTTTTTCCCTAGGATTCTGGTTTATTGGCGTACAAGATTCTGGGAATCTTATTGTAGTGTACTTATGAACCGTACTGCAGTAGTTAGAATACAGTATTGCTGACTAACTCTGCCCACAGCCAGGAGTTCGATCCTGACCGGCTCAAGGTTGACTCAATCTTCTATCCTTCTGAGGTCAGTAAAATGAGGACCCAGATTGTTATGGGCAATATGCTGGCATTTGCAAACAGCTCAGTGCTGTAAAGCACTATGGACCAGTATAAAGATCTAAGTGCTTTTGCTAGTTATGTGCATAATCATAACACTTCCTGCCTAGATTATATTTATGTCCAGCAATGCTTGCATGGCAATCACTGGCACACCCTCCCTCACCTGGAAGCAGCCACCTGCTACTACTAACACAGCATCCCTCACTTGGCAGCAACTACTCATGGGCATAGATGCACTTTCCCATCTCCAGTACCCAAGCCCTGTTATCTTCATGTAGCTCTGCGGCAGATACTGATGCACCTTTCCCAAAATGATAGCAGCCACCCTCTACCCAGCACAGCACAGCACAGCAGCCCTTTATTTGACTGTCAGCCTGTTTGTGAGCCACCAAAGGCTTGCAACTTCCTGCGGGCTTCCTCATTAACTCTGCTTGTTGAAAACATGCAGAAAGTTGTGAGGAGATCTTTTC